GAAACCGCTGATTTTAAGCATTGGTCATCTTGATAGGGGGTTCAGCGGAACAACAAGGAACCGGTGTTTGCTCCAACATTATTTTGACATAGCCCAACTCCCCACCGAAGTCCTTCAAGGGTTCTACCAGGGTACAAAGCCGCTGGGCTGCAGGATCGAGTCCTTGAGCGTCTCTGCATCTTTGACGAGTCTAAGGTTGGCCCATTAGATACCCCTGGTGCATAGCTGAACGCCGCTCTCGGAACTTTCAATTCTATGAGACATTTAAACGCAGCTGGTGGAAGTTCATGTATGGCTATGGTGGATGAGAATTTGAAACAAAGACTTGCAGTTCAGAGGGGTTTGAGCCATGGGAAAACCACATGGCTTACAGAAGTGACACCTTCTCTCAGGACCCTATCGGATAGCAGTGGTAGTATCTGGTTTTCTAGTCACTCGATGTCAATTCACGACGATTCACCACTGGCTTATTTCAGTAGGTCATCACTGACAGAATCCGTAGAGTTGGCGCGACAGAAGATCTAATCAGAACAGGGCTTGGTAAAGATTGGGGATAGAATCTTCCTCGGTCACGTTTTCAATATATTGGGGATATATCTCCATAATCTTGGTAAATGTGACCACTTGAAAGGGATGTTCCAAATCCCCCAGGACATCACTATCAACCGCAGAAGCGCCAGGAGAACGAAGCAGTAGACCTGGCCTCCCTATCTGACCTTTGGCCGCCAAGGGGAAGCGTCCCGGGGGTCAAACATGGTCAGACACATTCCGATGGCAGCATTATGGGGATTTATATGGATTTATGGGGGTTACGATCCCATTGTTACCCTCTAACATAACTATGGAAAATCACCATTTTTAATGGACAAACTCACTATAAATGGCGATTTTCAATAGCTATGTTAAATTACCAGAGGGTATACCCCTTTTTTTCACCCCAGCGCCACCTCCAAGTACTTCAAACTGCCGCTAGATTCTCCTCCGAGGGTCCGGACGAGAAAAAACCCATCGACGAGTTGGAAGAGAGTCTGCCCATCCTGTGGAACGGCAGATCATACAGAGGGCGATGATTGGGTGAGCGAATATCAATGAGCCAATGATGTTGCTGGAATTTTCACCGCATCCTGTGGAATCGGGGGCTTCCCAATGACATGTTTATCCTGTGGAATCGACCAGAATCAAACGGATCTCCATTCCGATTGCATCGACTTTGGCAAAGATACAGGTACTTTGTTTGAAATAGGAGACCTGTTTCATGCCAGGATTGATCATCAAAAAACCCCATTAGAAACCTTAGAATGGCAATCTTGGATCCAGCGTCCTTAGACAAACCCCTGCTATTTCATCCGCGCCAGGCTACTTTCTCTCCCAGGGCCGGGTTTTGGCCCCAGGTCGTTGCATCATTTGTCGACCCAAAATTGTGTCTGAAAATAGGCGACCTCCAATTCCGGTGGATGATCCTTTTCCCTACTCAATGGATATTCAGGGATTTACCCCAGTTTCAGACTCACCGAATTATGGCTAAATTTCTGAAACAATACTCGTACTGTGCTGCTTCGCAACTCCAAGTTTGATCCAAAACATCTTCCGGGTGATGGGTGACCGCCGAAAGCTTCAAGTGAAACCCCGTTGCTGGTTGGTGGCGCGCAGAGTTTTGTTGATGTTCCATCCCACTTGACATGATAAGCCACAACTTTCAGGGTCCCTTTAAGGGTCCCGGGAGAGTTCAAAAAGGATGCCCTACTAATTTCAATGATAGAACAAGTCAACAGTGATCCTATCGAATTGAAATTTCCATGCTCCCTTGTAACATTTATGACTAAGAATCTATGAAGAACAAAACATAAAAATATAAAACACATAAACCATATTAAGAAAAAAAATGTGGGTACGAATCAAAACCTATTGTACCATATTTTGGGGGTATGAACATGGATAAACTCACCAGCCATTTTTGGTTTTCACCAAGGTGCCAGGCGCCATTGATCCATTCCCATACAGCCACGTGGAGCTAAGGCCATGATGGCGTATCACGTCCTGATGACCAAGTGCAAGCAGAGCCTGAAGCATGGCGCTTGGTGTCTTCGAGATCGATTGGGTATTGGGGATACCCAATACGACAATATCTATTAAAAGATACTTATTTTCCACATATTGGTTTTGGTATATAAAAAATAGCTATGAGTTATGAGTCAAAAGCCTGGGACCCTTTTTTAAAAGGTACCCTAAGTCATAGCTCGCTGGTGCTGGGTGATTCCCCAGTGATATGGTCATCTCATAGGTAACTTGAGCCCTGCGAGGCCTGGAGAAGAACTGCGCTTTCCCCTGGCTCTCGAACCAGAGGTGCACACAGCTTTTTGTAAAGGAAGACACGCTGGAGATGCGAAGCAGAATATATAATAATAGCTATGGCTATAGTATAAATATAATATAACATATATCATATATATATATATTATATTATAATATAATATGATATAATATAACATAATATTAATATAATATAATATAATATAGTATAGTATAGTATAGTATGATATAATATATATAATATAACTATAATATAATATAATATAATATGATATGATATAACATAATATATACGTACATATATATATATACATACATAGTGTAATATATATATATGTAATATTATATATAATATATACATTATAAATAATATATATCATATAATAGAATATAATCGAATACATGTATATATATATATATGTATATGTGGATTCCTAAGGATAGGCTGTTCCTGGTTGTCTCTAGGCTGTTCCCATCCGGATTTTTTTTCCCCTAAGATAGGCTATTTTGTGCTGGCTTCTGAAGATGTCCCAAAATGCAGTGAAACATGTGGGACATCAGGTGGCCAAACACTCTCTCAAGACTGTCCAAAGATGGCGGCCGCGGAAAACAAAGCTGCTTCTGGCACCCTTCTTGATGGTTGAAACATGTGAAACCATAATCTCTGCTGGTTAATTCAAACAGTTTACGATTACAACAAACCTTTTTTGCGGGTTGAATCCACATTTTGATGATTCGATCACCCTAAAATTGGATGGTTTTTTGTCACCATTTTTCTTGGTTAATCCAGCATTTTTGTACCATTTTGGTTGCTGCCAGGACGCTCGGCGCCTGCGCAAGGCGGCGAAGTCCGTGGCTCTGCACAACTTGCTCAACGAAGGCAGAAATATGGGATCTATAGCTGATTTTTAGCTGAAATATGCGATGATATGTTGGATCTATAGCTGATTTATGATATCTAAGTGACGGTGAACAGAACTCGCCCTTGGACTATGGCAACTGTGTTGGGGAGATCGCGAGAACTACTGTATATGGGATTGTCCAACTAAAGCAACTTACAACTGGGAGGCACCACCTTTGTATGGTAGGGCTCAAAATCCCTATATAAGAAATGCTTGGAACTGCGGAAACCACCATGGCTATTTCTGGTTGGAACTGGGGTTCCAGGAATGGATTGGGTTTGAACGTGAATAATCAGCCAAAATTAGGATGTATTGTGTTACAATGATTTAATCATCAACCAAAGGGTTCAATCAATGAACAAAGTTAAACCACCACGTTGAACCTATACTTGTGTAGCTTCACTACAATCAAAAACATATTTACCAATGCAATAAGGACTGTATAATATATATGTAATCTAATTCAACGATGAATTTCTACCCCAAAACTTTGGTGAATAACAACACGTTTTTTTTGTGGTGGCTTTAAGCATGGGTTCTTGCCGTGTTCCAACATGGAGGTGTGGTCTCCAGTGCGGTGTGTCTCTTGGAACTGTGCGGCCTCGAGACGGAAAAGCTGCGGGTGGATGTGGAAGCAGCCAAGAGGTGGGGAGATGCGTGGTGAAGTAGTGGCTTAAGCGTGGGTTAGCCATGAAACATGGGGATTTTTCAGTGGGCTTTGAACATGGGGATATGATTTGTTTGCGGTACCCTCTGGTAATTTAACATAGCTATTGAAAATGGCCATTTATAGTGGATTTTCCCATTAAATGGTGATTTTCCATAGTTATGTTAGTCTACCAGAGGGTATATCAATGTATATTATATATAGCCAACTATCATCAGAACTGGGATGATATATATTGCACAGATGGATTTGGGCATGGCCACAAAACCCCTGTGGGGCCCAACATGGTTCGAAATTGGGATCTTAAATTATGATATGCTGATGATGAATATCGGATATTTGTTTTAGCAATATGTATATATATATATATATATACAGATATGCATATGCATATATAGATATGATATCCATATATATATATACACATACAGATATATATATATATATAGACATATATATATATATATATTATGTATATATATATATATATTATGTATATATATATGTATATATATATATGTGGGAAGTGGCTTAAGGTACCCTCTGGTAATTTAACAGTTTACTATGCGAAATCACAATGTTTAATAGCAACATCAATATATATATATATATTATGCCACATACATGCATACATAAAAATAGACATAGGCAATAAACATTAATTTGTCCAGATGAATGGAGTCAGAATGTGGGTTTGGAAAACATGGTAATCTTGAGGCGTTTTTTCAATGTGGTAGCAATACAACCAGCATTGCATGCACCTCAGGTCGCAAAGTCACGAGATTTTTCATGATGGTCAGGATTGGGGTTTATGCTATCCCAAAAGGGCGAACTTTTTCAGGTTGGTGAATTTATTACAATTGATCCAGATGAATGGATTTGGTATATGTAGAAACCTCCATTAAGAGAACCGAGTAAGACAGCAGTATAGAAATTGAACCAATTGAACCTGTTCTATGGTCTTGGGGATTACTTTTAGAAGCATTTAGAAGTTCAGAAGATCTTAGAATCTTTAGATATCTAAAGATCAGCCAAAATGGGGATTTACTCATCTTCGAACCAGTTTACTTCAATAGGAAATGGTCGCAACGTTTATTTTTAGTGATCAAAGCCAGCCATTTTTGGACAAAATGAGAATTGGATGAAGGGAAATCCATTGAAATCCATTCATCTGGGACACGGGGACACGTCTGATCCCTCAATGAACCATGGATATTAGGGATGATATGGGTGTGTCTGAAACCGAGGGATCAGAAAGGAACACTCTGATTCTCATGAGATAGCCTCTAGTTTCATCAAACATAGCTGGAAAATCCACCAGATATAGTAGTGAGATGTTCTTCCCAGCTACAAACCTCCATTTATGGTGGATTTTCTCATGATTTTCCCATTACAACCATATTAAAACTTCCATTTTCCATGGGAATTTCCAATACTGAGCTGGTGACACCGGAGATGGGATGAGGTTGGCGGTTTTTCCTTCTCCATCTACGCCCAAAACACAACTAGAAAGAGTTGAACAAACAGATCCCCATATCACCCATATATACATCATTATACATCCACATTGCATCATCCCATATCATCCCCCATGAGAATGCCCTTGTTTCGCAGCTCTTCGAAGAGCTCGCAACGAGCTCGGCTTCTGCTCCTCGTGCTCGCCAGGATCTACTCCCACGCGGTGCAGAATAGCGAGAGCGGCAGCCGTTCCGCCGCCAGCGTCATCCAACTCTTCCAGTCCTTTCCGGACACCGAGGAGGCTGAGGATGCCTCTGCGGCAGCTGAGGCGGCCATCACATCACCGCACCTGCTGAATGCACTGAGGAGAGGGAATGGCAGTTGAAGTGGCTGGGAAATCCCCTATAAATGGAAGTTTTAACGGGGACATCATCTATAAATGGATGATTTTGAGGTGCCACGTTTGATTGCCGGAGGGTATGCATGGGAATTTAAAGCCCCATGTTTGTTGGGATATGGGGTCCCTAAAAGTATGGTTATATAGTTATATATATATATATATCCACTTAGACTTCCAAGAGGGCACAGGAATGGGAAGCTGGTAATATTGATATTTAAGTTATTTAAGCATTCTAAGACATGGATAAACGCTTTTTGCGTTTGGAATATTGGGATATAACATAGGAGATACAACCAACAATATGATCCCGGGTTGGCCCGGACATGTGGGAATTAATTACTGCCCCAGATGGTGGAAAAGTAGCCAACTAAAAGGTGGTTGACCTGAAGTTTCTTGGATAGCTGCAAGATAGCTGAAGTGCCAATGTTTTCAGGGTTAGTTTGGTGTTTTCTCTAACTTGTTCAAAGTTTTTGGCCCATGGCTTCCGTTCATTTGGCTCCCACTGGGATACTTTGGAGTTATTGGCTCACTGTTTCTTGTCCAAGGTCCTGATTGAATTCTTCCAAGGCTTTTGGAGTACCCTCTGGTAAACTAACATAGCTATGGAACATCACCATTTTTCATGGGAAAATCCACTATAAATGGTCATTTTCAATAGCTATGTTAGTCATTACCAGAGGGTATCAACCTTCCTTTCCCATGATTTTCCCCCAGACGTGGCGCATTTTCCCATGGCTTTTCCCCCCGCAGGATGTTGGAAGAAAGCACCTGGGCCTTAGATCCCCACCCCTCGGCCCCCGCGGCGTCCATCCAAGCGCTGGGATACGACCTGCCCTGGCACCTGGTGGCCTTGTTCTGCCGGGTGCACTCGCTGCCCAGGTCCTTGACCTTGCGACCTGGTCGACCTGGTGCTGATTTTCGGGGAGAAAACACCGGGAGATAGAAATGGAGATAACAACCAGGAATATCTAGGGATTTCATATTGATTTCATAGATTATAGATTGACTATAGCGTTTTTTTTGACAAGGTGGTCACCTTTGAGGTTGCCTCAATTCCTATGATCTGTTGGTTCCTGAGAGATTTTCCGATGAACGGAACTGGGTGGGAAGACCATGAAACATGGAGATACCAAAATGGAATAGGGTTTAACCATAACATGGTTTCTACACATCTGGATATAAAGGTAGGGGTTGTGGTGGCAATTAGGGATTTCAGCATGGGATATTCATTTAACTAGCCAAAGGCTTCAATCAGTGAATCAGAGATATGTGGGTGTCTGAAAATGGGGTGATTTATCATGGTTTATCCCTGTTTTATGACCATTTCAACAGAGAAACTGATAATGAATGAATTCTTTTTCCCAATCTTTCTTCAGGCAAACCCCTATATGTTGCTGGGTCTTACAAAAAAGGATATTTTCCGACGAAAGCAACTGGGGATACCAAATGAGCAAGAAAACATATGAAGATCTTCGGGGAAACTGGATGGTTGGGGTAATAGGCATAGTAAGCAATGAATTTCCTAGGGGATAAGCTGACTGGTGGAGGGGTTATTGTATATATTTTTTTTTTGTGTGTGTGTGATAAATGGGGGAATATTATAGCTAGTAAGCTAGTAGCAAAAGAAGGAAAGAACTTGGCCAAGCTTTTTGCAGGGCATCCAAGATTTTGCTATTTTAAGGTGATGTTTTAGATTTCCCTTAGACGATTGGTCCCTTCTGACATCCTGAATTCCGGAAGATTTTGATCGTCTTACCCCCCAGTCATCAGCTCCATGGGAACATACCCCATTGAATTCGACGGATTTTCCCATCCAAATGCACATTTACATACATTTACCCTCCGGTAAATTAGCAGAACTATGGAAAATCACAATTTTTCATGGGAAAACTCACTCTAAATGGCCATTTTCAATAGCTATGTTAGTCATTACCAGAGGGGGACCGCTGGGCTTTTCCAGCGGTGTTTCATCAGTTGGCCCAATCCAAGGCTACACGAGCTCGCGCGTAACAACGATTGGGTCATGTTTCTCTATGAAAGCGACCTGCAGCAATGTCCCGCTGATACGGTGCCTTGGACAACAGGACGACGGGTGACAGGTGGGCAACAAGTTTTGATGATTTTTGGGGGGAAGTCCTCAGTTTTGTTCAACCAACATTATCTGGTTGGTGGTTTGGAACATGATTTTTTTTATTTTTCCATATATTGGGAATAATTACCCCAACTGACTCACATTTTTCAGAGGGGTTCAAACCAGCCAGTTATTTTTTTTGTGTTGTTTTTTTTTGGTGTCCCTCAGTTGTTTGAAAAAACGGTGGCACAGTTTTTTTTTGAAAACATGCATCTATGCTCTGGCAGACTATCATAGCTATGGAAAAAAACACCCACCATTTTTAGATTAGGTAAATCATCTATGTATACCATTAAATATCATTAAATGATATTTATACATATATATATAATTATATTGTGAATTGACTTCACACTGGCAGCTCAAGTTCCCCACGACCTCGCACTCAGCAGTCTTTTCCAAACAGCCAGTGGAAGTCTCGCAGTGTATCGCCAAAATGGCGGCAGTGGCTAAAGAGCCTGGCAAATTGGATTCCAATGTGTCTGCCACGACACAAGCAACGTAGCGACCGACCGCGGTCAATGGCTCCAAGATGCAAGAACCCTCACCTCCCACCAACAGGCGATCCAAGCCAAAATGCAACTGTCATGGTGCAAGTTCGGAACGCTGACCGGTTTGGGGATCTAAGGAAACCTGTAAGGGAAATGTAAGTGGACAATGACAGGGATCATTGATAATTTCACATTATATATATATATATACATATTATAGCTGCAGGTGATCTATACCATAGCTATGTCGGTGAGTTTATCATAGGGTACTGTATATGACGTTATATCCCAATAAAACCGGAAATATCAATATCATCATTTTGCGTTGTATTCCGCGTTTTTCCTGATAATTTCCTTTATTTTCTCATTGAAATGATCTTCCCATGTTATTCTATGTTATTCCCCCCATGAATTGGTTATACACCTATTTTTGGATGGTTTCATTACCAGAGGGTATCCTATACAACTACGATGCAATGCTCCCATTGAACTAGCAATATTTCCCCATATTTTCATCCAAATATATACCACTATATGCCTACCCAAATGGATATTTCTAAATTCTAATTCATGTTGGTTTTCATTTTTATTAAACAATATGACTTCTGAATAAAACATGGTATAAATAACATTGTAGAACCATATATTGTTTGGTTTTCCATCTCTTACCATTGTATCTCAGGATTTTCCCCATACGTTTCCCATCTTTTCTCCTTCGAACCATGATATTCTTATTTCATATTGCTTGGTTTTCAATCTTTTCCCAGCATTTTCTCATGGAAAATACCCCCTTGTGCGGGTGATTTTCGATTTTTGCCTCGGTTTTTTTCTCGTGGTCCAGCACCGATGTTTTTAGGTGCTGGACATCGTGGCGGGCTACTTCACCGAGCTGCCCCTGCAGAGCCATCTGCAGATCTTGGCCAACTCCATCGCCAGCAGGGACCTGGGCGAAAGTGGTGCCCGCGAAGGGAAAGGACGCTGGCGCCGTGGGATGGTGCCAAGTTCTTGAGCCAATTTTTTTTTGGAGGAATCTATGGTACATGGAAAATGACATAAAATGACCATGTTCATAAGATTTCATAAGATTTCATAGGTAAATCCTGGAAACACGATGGTCATTTAGAAACATGGCGATGTTCAGAGCTGGAGACTTTGGAGGTTGAAGGTCAAGCCAATGAACGAAGGATTGCTGAAAGGCGCTCCTGACATTGTAAATCAGATCCATGGTTTACCCTCTCCGGTAATTTAACATAGCTATGAAAAATGGCCAGTTAGTTCGTTGATTTACCTATGAAAAATGGTGATTTTCCATAGCTTTTCAGGGGAAGTTGATCCCATGGAGCTGCTGACCTATGGAGCCGAAGGACCCCGGGGAGCCGCCAAGACGGACAGTGCCATGCCGGCCAATGCCATCGGCTTTCTGGAGAGGAATCGTTCAGGCGGGGGCATGGCGAGGGCACCCATTGAGCCATTGATACCTCTGTTGGCCATGTGGATGAAAAATGGTTAGACTGATTTATGGCCATTGATATCTCCGAGATTTAAGATAACCATCTGTTTTTTTTTTAGATTAACAAAATGAAGGGACAGGCGAGTACTTTTCCAATCATTTTCATAGCTCAGACTGAATCTAGGCTCGTTACATGCCACCGAAGCATCAGGTTCCGCAAAGGTTGGTCGTGGACTGCTGCAGCACGCGCTGCTGCACCGGAAGGCACGGCTGGCAGTGGTGGCCAGCGCCTTTAGCGACGTGAGTTACTTGCAGTGTACCTTGGCATCTGGGAATGGCATGGATTTCACATATGACTTACCCTCCATGGACCCCAACAGTTTGCTATTGAAAATGGTCATTTATAGTATTTATAGCTGTTTTACCTATTAAAGATAGTGATTTTCCATGGCAATGTTAGTTCACCAGAGGGTAACATGATTTAATACAATTTAACTTACTCAGGTGTCATCAAGCGTGGCTGGCTGGGAGATCGCCATCAAAAATGGAGGTTTAAATGGGCCATCATCTGTAATTAGTGGATTTCCATTGCAATGGATTTTCCATTGTCATGTTTGATTATACGCCAGAGGGTAACGTATTTAAGAACAATACATATGGCTTCAGCCGACTATAATGGGTATATATGGTCTCGTGTTCCGTGTTCCTACCCCCCCCATCGTATGGATAGGTACATGCCATACATACCATACATACCATACATACCATACCTACCTTACATAGCAAACATTCCATACCCATCGTAGTGACCATACATACCATACAGACCATACATACCGTCATATCAAACATACCATACCCAACATACTTACATACCACACCTGCCATCCATACAATACCAACCATACATGCCAAACATACCATACCTGCCATACATACCAAACATACAATAAATTCCAAGCATACCATACATACCATACCAACCATACATGCCAAACAGACCATACATATCAAACATGCCAAACAGACCATACATATCAAACATACCGTACATGAGATAATTCAAATACCATACTCACCATACCCACCATGCCATATATATATATATATTGTCATACATACACTACACCCGCACCACACACCCCCCACCACACCAAAGAGGGGGGGAGGGGGACAGTACCACACCCCCACCACACCACGGGGGAGGGGACAGTACTATGGCTGACCCATGACCATGGCCGGGGGGGTTGGAACGCTGGACCATATATATATATATATAAATATATATATATATAAATATATATATAAATAACTATATTATATATATAAATATATATTATATTTCGATATTCAATGGGAAGTTTCACAAGAGGGTTTGGTATCTGCAAACCATTGGGTAAACATCATCAAACTTGACGATCCAGTGTGATTTTAGAGGGATATCTATGGGCATATAGTTATATATATAGAGATATTTAGAGGTACCCAACTACGTCCAATGTGGGTGGGTCTGGAAGCAGATAATGGGTGGATTGAGGGAATCTGGCCGGAAAGTGACCAATTTTACCAACAAATGATTGATTTACTCAGCAAAAACATGGATTTGCTGGGATACATGAGATATTCAAGGGATACCTCCAAAGAATGGTGGATCTTAAGACTTCTAGGACACATCATATGGACAATACCTGGAAGTTATCATATACTGGAAGTATTCTTGCCTACAGTAATCTGTTGGACGGTTTGGTGTTTCCGATTTCAAGATTGATAAAAACCGAGGTATGGCAGTGTGGCTCACAGTGAATGCAGAGAAGAACCCTGACCATGGGGAGGCAGAGGTAGGGTGTTTGAGTTGGGTAAGGCGTTAAGCACGTTGGGTTCCAGCTACCCTTCGGTGTCATCATGGCTGGCTGGGAAATCCCTATCAAATGGGGGATTTTCCTGCCAGCCATGTTTGACAACCAGAGGGTAATTGCTGTAGTTAGATGAAGGGATCGTATGAAGCAGTGTTTTTCAAGAGATCTCGTAGAAGGGCTTTGAAAAGAGAAAGTTGGGAGAGTTTGTAAGAAGTTGTTGTAAGGGATATTTGTTCAAAGCATTTCAAAGTTATATATATATATATGTAGGATGGTACAAATATCTACAGGTCGTAATACACTATCCTCATGGTAAGGAAAATTTATCCTGCAGATGGACTGGTCAACATTTCCCACAATCGGGGTTTGGTGTTGGGGGTATACCATGGAATACCCAATTTTCAGGCACACCCAAATATCACACTGGGTATATATATATGCCATAGATTGGGGGCATACCATGGAATACCCAATTTTCAGGCACACCCAAATATCACACTGGGTAATTATATATGCCATAGATTGGGGGCATACCATGGAATACCCAATTTTCAGGCACACCCAAATATCACACTGGGTATATATGCCATAGATTGGGGGCATACCATGGAATACCCAATTTTCAGGCACACCCAAATATCGCACTGGTATATATGCAAATAGATTGGGGAGAATACCATGGAATACACAATTTTTCAGGCACACCCAAACTATCACACTGGGTATATATGCCATAGATGGGGTGTCCCGTTTACCCCACAACAAGTAGACACTGTGTACCAGCGCACCACACCCAAATATCACACTGGGTATATATATATGCCATAGATTGGGGGCATACCATGGAATACCCAATTTTCAGGCACACCCAAATATCACACTGGGTAATTATATATGCCATAGATTGGGGGCATACCATGGAATACCCAATTTTCAGGCACACCCAAATATCACACTGGGTATATATGCCATAGATTGGGGGCATACCATGGAATACCCAATTTTCAGGCACACCCAAATATCGCACTGATTCTATATTCAATATATATATATATATATATACGAGATCGTCGACAGGAGAGTACATGCATTGCGCGCCCGTCGCCGAACCCTGCAGAGGTGGTAGGGGGGAGATTTCCTACCTACGCAACCTCTGAAAAGATGGAGAAAAGATGGGAATGCTTTTCACAAACAGTGGTAAATATAATGAACATAGAGTCAAATCTTGTTCAAATCTCTATGTATAAAGTGAACAATATAGTAGAATAGAGGAAAATGGAAGGTTTTCTGCATTTTTTGGGGTTACTATATCCTAAAAACTTGCTGGAACATGTGCCAGACATATGGATGAGTGGATGATTTTCCTGTGGATGGGGATTTCGGAGGATTTCCCAATGGCCAAGTCGATTTGTGGGGCCAATATTTTTCGCGCCACAGCCAAAGCAGGAGAACATGCGAAACCAAGAGTTTGTAACGTGGGCATATTCTAGAATTCCGGTAGGACCCCGCAAAGATACGTTTGTACAGTCAGGTCTGCCAAAGAAACTTGTTCACACCATCCATGTAGAAATTGATGCTGTCCATGGTGCACCCATAGCAGGTGGCTGCTCAGATTGCCAACCTTTGTCGCAAGCGCCGGAGACTTGGGGATCTCCTGACGAATCCACAGAGATGGTGGTTTCTTTTCATGTTTTGAGACTTGCTTAAGGCAAAATGCCATGGATCAGTTGCAAGGTCAAGCGTTTTCCTTGGTGTTGCGGGCGCTAAAGGCGAGGGTGTGCAAAGTCTGGCAGAAGGTTTGTAACTACATAGGACAAGGAGGTATGGACACAAAGAATGAGAACCCTTGAAACTTGCGTATCATGGAAACAAGAGGTGGGAAATTTCTTGACCGGAAAGGAACCCAAGCCCAAATTCAGCCGATAGGCGGAGCTTCCGGTTTTCCAGTCCAACTTGAGGATTTGTCATGTTTTGTGCATAGTCATTTTGGGACCGTGCTTGGGGCAACCACCTGACCAATTACGATTTTGAATTGGACTCATCAAACGATTTTGTGGGGATCCATCTATTCATCATCCACATCAACATACCTCAATCAAGAATCCATTTGTAGTGACCCCGGAAAACGATGCGAACAAGTATTTCCCAGGATGGGTTTTGTCACAGATGACAGATGATGCTTACCCCGCAATTTCCAGGTGTCCAACTTTTCCATTTCTAATCATTTGGAGAACGTCCACAACATCCCAACCCATGAAATCCCATTAACAACTCCAATAAACATCCCATGGAAAACAACATGAAATTCCAATAAAGTCCAATGATGTATATATATATATATGTATAATCAATGTATAATTTATGTAAACATATAAACCCTTAAAAAACAGACATTTCTCGCATAGATTTATCGATTTATCAATGCAGCCGCAGTGCAGATCTTTGATCCCGAGAATCCTCTGATTGACTTCATCTGCTTCCACCGAGCTTTTGTGCGTGGAAGCCTGGAACGGGGAGAGTGCAGAAATCTGGAGGTCAAGATCGAAGAACTGGACATTTACAAATGGTTTGTTCTGATTTTTGGTGAGATTTTGTGGTTTAAGTTGCTTAAAGCATTTTTTTTTCGGGGTCAGAAGTTTCTGATTCATTTTCATTTGGTTTCAAATGTTTATTGCTAAGCTGATTCCCACCCTAAATTGAATTCTGATGGGTGGCTCAAGTTCACCAGACTCATTGGACGATCTTGCTTGAGATACTTTATTGCATTTGAAGTGTTCATGTCAGTTGCTAGATCCTGAATGAGGCAATGCCGTTTCAAGAGTTGCCGGGAACATTTGCGACGCTTCGTGGGACTTCGGAACGAGTCTGTGGGGGGTGCTAAGAGACCCACTGGTTTGGCACGGGATTTCTGGCAGCATAAGCATAGTTGCTGGTCAGCACTATCTGGCAACCCTTAGACTTGGGTATTGGTCAAATTTGGATAAATTGGGTACCTCAATAATTAGATGGTTAAATTTTGACCCAGATTCGTTTTGTCATCTCGTTTTGTCATCGAGTTGGCTCTCGGCACGTCTGAGGGCTCCTACAGCTTAGCCTTCTCGTCCCGGAGCCCGGGGAAAGAATCAGCGTGACCTGCTTGGGGGTTGATTTGACGAGGGGTACCGTGGGGTGCATGACTATTCGACTATCCGAAACTGGTTCTAAGATGTTCCATTGACTATGAAAACTCTATGATTCTGATTCATATCTGATTCATAGATTCATAGACCATTTGGGGGTGTGTAGGAAATGGATGGAGATGGCCTTGAGGAAATGCAAAATTTTGAGTAATTTTTTTAAACCTCAAAAACACTCAAAAGGCTTCAAACATGCTCACGCAGCACTCAAACACGACGCGAAACAAACCAAAATTGACAGAATCTTCTCGGCCATTTTTTGAGAGAAATTGAGAGGCCATTTTCGGATGTTGAAATCTCATTTTTTTTTTCGCACGCTCTCTGTGTGCAACTTAACTGGCTCAGAACAGCTCGCTGGAATGAAAAAAGTTGCTGATTGGAGATGTCTCAAACTTGATGCCAAGACATTGCCAAATAGCCAACAACCAAAAAGAAGAAAACATCAACATGTTTCAAAAAACAAGCTGTCTCAATTGCAGTAGCATGTTTCTGTCATTTTCTGTCTATGAATACCACTACATTACTACATTGAACGTTCACCGTTACAAAACAGCCATATCATAACCCATTCTTCAGCAGCGGTTCAGCCGGAATTGATTGCTTTTTCCACTGTGGCTCAAGTTCAACGCATGCACATGCCAGCCAAGACAAGTGAACAGTTGACAACTCCCGTGGGGTATGGTTCAAAACCCTGTACCCCGGGCAGCCATCAAACGAGACTATATTGATGGAAATCATCCCCAAACCGATACCAGCTTTGGATCCCGGCCGCCAATGCCAGAACCAGGAGGGCTCCGGCCCCCTAGAGGGGGCCGGGCCCCCCCAAGAGTTCAACGACTCACCGAGCAACTGGCAGCAAGTGCTGTATGAGCAAAGACAGGCCCAACAAAAAGATGAGGATAAAGGAGATGAGATGCAAAAAAATGAGAAAACAAATTAGAAAAAATGGAGGAGACTCCAAGAACTGAGGAGGAGCGCCCGCATGAAGCTGTTGTGGCTGCTGCTGCTGCTGCTGCTGCTGGTGTTGTTGTTGTTGTTGTTGCTGTTGCTGTTGCTGTTGCTGTTGCTGTTGTTGTTGTTGTTGTTGTTGTTGGTTGCTGTTGCTGTTGCTGTTGCTGTTGCTGCTGCTGCTGCTGTTGCTGCTGCTGGTGTTGTTGTTGTTGTTGTTGTCGCTGCTTTACTCCTTGTTGATCGATGACTAATCAACGATGAATTGATAGTTGTGGTCGGCGGTGAGGCTTACCCGTTCATGCATGGACATGTTTAGTGAATTTTAGTGACATTCTATTCTTCCATACTGCTTGGGGTATGATTATTATATTTAGTATAGCGCTTAGGGGTCCATGGCTGAACCACAGATGAGTTTGGGGTATGTGATTGAGTCATAGTGATTATGAATGGCAATGCTTGACTCACAAATGTCTAGCGTCCCACCCAGATGCAACAGAGTTTTTTCGGTAATTTTCAATGGAATCTCCCTTTTCCCACCTCTTGGGGATGACTCTCTTGGACTGTGGTGCGTGTGTTGATGGCCATCTCGGGATTATTGGAATTCATTGTTGGAGAAGGTACTTTCTACATTTGTTGAATGGTGGAGTTCAAGTTCAAGTGCTGCGTCCCTTTGACAATGGATCTACATTACAGTCCAGAGATATGTAGCCTCCTCCATGATACCAAGAATGATCCGTCGCCATTGATGGCTAGCAACTATCACTTAATGGTTATTACTGGTTTGAAATGGACTGTCGGTCAGTGGCTATTAATGTTTTGAAATGACAAATGGTTAATCATGAATGGTTATCTAGTCGCTATTCCTTGGCTGCAATTATGGTTAATCATCGAAAAAACAGTAATATAGCCATCCCCAAGTAGATAGAAAAGCAAATGTGCATCATTTTATTGGGACTTTGCTTTTCTATCTTGTTGGGGGATTACTATAATGATTGATGGCTATTTACGGTTAGTAGTGATTAGCTACTGTAATAGCTACTGATGGTTTGAAATGATGCACGGTCAATATGCAAGTTTGCATCGACGGCTGAAGTAACCCAAGACCGTCGGCCTGAAATGAGGGAGGAACATCCCAAATCCTCTCCCGAATCTAACATGGCAATAGAATCTGGCCATATCCGATGGGTAATTCATCTATATATGACATGAAGGATGGATATTTAGTTGCCACGAAAGGTTAGCACAGCTCTGCTCACCTCTGCTTCTGTACAGCCGGGCAATCAATGAACCTCCTGGCTGTGGCTGGGAATCCCATCTCCATCAAACAATGCCAGAAACAATCCCATCAAATGAGTAAACGATAAAATTGTAGATTTAGTTAGAACATTTTTTGTAGAGTATCAGTTGTTCTTCTTGATCTGTTTTGTTTTGAAAATTTTGCATTTATTTTGATTCATATATATTATTCGTTTATATCTGACATTTAATTTCAGACATATTCTGACATGCTATCTGGCGTTTTTCTCACATCTTATTTGTCATTTTTAAACCACATCCACAAACCACTGAGTTTTGAACATGTTTTTCGACCAAGTTTTTGTCTATGTAGGAAAAACTCGGCCGAAATCCTGATGTTCTCCCCCGTTGTTCCCTCGATTTCACTCAGTTCAACTTCAGTCCTTATCAGCTCACCAAACCTCAATTTCCCTCGGTTTCGCTCAGTTCAACTTCAGTCCACATCAGCTCACCCCACCTCAATTTCCCTCGGTTTCACTCAGTTCAACTTCAGCCCACATCAGCTCACCCCACCTCAATTTCCCTCGATTTATCGACGTCAGTTCAGCTTCAGTCCACATCAGCTCACCAAACCTCAATTTCCATCGGTTTCACTCAGTTCAACGTCAGTCCACATCAGCTCACCCGACCTCAATATTGCAGTCGATTTAATTCAGTTTAATTCCATTGTGGCTTCAATGGAGCTCACAGGTCTTGAAATACTGGCATGCTGCTTGTACAAACCCATCCAATTTCATAATGCATGATTGGGGTCTGGAAACATATTTTGCTGGCCTTCCTTACTTTCGTGCTGGCCAGCCCTTAGGTTGGATTTCACGAGACATACGTATAACCGGCACATGAGCATCAGGAGTGATTATGTTGCTTGGGCACCTGCATCCAGAGAGGTTGTGGCCCAGGTTCTGGAATCAGAGGCTTGATTTTAGAGCTCCAGTTGACTATTGAGCATCACTGAGTCACTGGCAAACTTTATCAATGGTTTGATGAAACCACTAGCTGATGATTTCAGTGTTTCAGCTTCACCGAATCGACCCAGATGGTCAATGCTTGAAACAGGTTAAAAACCATTTTCTCAGGTAGATACAATATTTTCTTTCAAGGAAACCTGTGAAGGCATTGACGGCACAGCTGTTTCACCAACCGATGCTGAAGGCATTTAGGAGACTCTGGCCCAACCGAGTTCCAATCAAAATAGTTTCATTGTGTGGGGGGGGGTCTCTCAAACCACCTCAATTTGTTTCATTTTTTCATTCTTATTCTTGGAGCAACATAAATTATTTCAAATTCTTTCGAAGTCCATGGATTTTCCCCATTTACCTTTTCAGCGCCCCGGAGTGTAATAATCTCAAAGAGGCTCAGGTGCAGCTCTAACGGTGTCAGGGTGAACTCAAAAGGATTCAAATAAGTTGTTTAACCGCAAACATGATGATAACACTGCTTACCCCAAAATATACTCATTTTGACTTTCAGACAACTCATTGAATATCAAAATCCAAGATTCTGAACTCGACGTTTCCTAGCGGCAATTTGGTCTACACCTCCAAATGGTCTATGATACATGCTACCAAAAAGAGGTTATCAGTGTTGAGTGTTGAGGGACTGAATGGTGGTTTCCTTTCGGACCTTTCAGGGTGTTACCTCCCAGTAGAACCATCCACCGAGGCCCCACGTGGAGCGACTCAGCGAAGAGATGGTTTGGCGCGAGCTCCCAGCGATCTTCTGGCGGATTTGAGCCCATGGGCAAATGGAGGTTTCCATAAATGGGGGTACCCAAAAATAGATGGTTTACAGTGGAAAATCCTATTCAAATGGATCATGTCAGGGTACCACCCATTCTGGGAAACTTCCAAATAAAAGAGATTGATGGCAGGTTCCAAAGCTGCACTCTCCTCTCATGCGCAGGTATCTCTTGGATGGTTTCCCACGTGCACGTATGATGCTGCTGTCTGCGTGGGGATGCCAAATGACATGACCCCATTTGTTCTCCCTCCAGAGTGATGTTTTTCTCGGCCCAATGATCAATGGCCAGGCATCAATATTAATTACCTGGCTTGACATTACAATCTTGGTACAAAGAGGGTGGACATCTCAACCAGGATGCTGTGCTTGCCCCTATTTCAATCCATGATCAAGAAATATTCTACCTTCAGTGACCTGTGTGATCCCCTGTCCCGGACATTTTTTCATGGTGTGAAGTGAAACCCCACTTAAGAATTGTTGGGGATTGTGGAACCCTAAACATTGTATGCAGATTTCATACAATCAGGTGGGTTTTAAGGCCATTCTTCTTCCTACAGCCCTATCATGCATTGGCCCATTTAATCAGCTCCATGGCTAGCTGGAAAATCCCCAACTTAGTTAGACGATTTTCCCATTGAACCATATTAAAGCCTCCATTTAGTTTATTTTAGTTTGGGGTTTTCCCAGCTAGCCACGATTTATGACCTCGTAGGGTGCCCCATTTGCCCCCCCAAAAATCACCCTCGATGAATTTTAGGCTGGACGAAGCAGGCTTTTCGCCACGTTTCTCGCAGCTCTTCAGCGCATTTAGGCAATGCTGTGGATGCTGTGGGATGGGGGAAAAAGGTTGGGTGAAGGTGCACCATTAGTGATGGTTCATCAGGGGAATCACCCCCAACCGGCCCAACTTTTTGAGGTTCGTGGACTACCATTTTCCAGATTCATTCCAAAAATGGTTGCTGTGTGTTAAGAATATACATACAACAAAGTCTGGTAGGTGGTCTAGACATATATATATATAAATACAAATATGTCGAAAAGTATCAACTATATATGGGAGGGTATTCGGGATGGTGGCTCCACCACCAACCATAAAAAAGTCATGGGCACTGCCTTGCCTGTTGAGCATGACCGCCAGGCTCATTCAGCAGCCTGGGTGCCCAGAAGTGCCCAGAGACTGGAGTTATTCAACGAGCAGGGTCTAGATTACCATCATTTGGAACCTCCAAAAAAAGCATAGGGAATCTCCAAATCTTAGTTCAAATCAATCTTGCCTGGCTTCGCCAAAAGCATCAACTCAGGGCATCACAGGTTGCACCTCTTGCCGTGCTCCGTGTCCAACTGAGGACTGGACTCGACGTCGACTTCCGCGTTCCCAGTGCCGAACTGCTGCCGGCTGCCCCGGGGCAAGGGCAGTGTACCCGGGGTGCCGGCTATACCAAGTAAAGACTAACATCCCGGAGATTCTTTTGGAGTTTTCTCAGCACACTAAGGGTTTCCATTAGGCCTAAAGGCCATGCAAACGATGGCTTGTCCAATACCTAGCGGATGCTGAAAACTGAGGCAGCTCTTGATTTCCAAAAAGATGTTTGCCGAAGCACGGGCCTGGGCCAAGAATGGCCTGAATGGCATGGATACCAAGAATTTGACCGGACAGGACTTGGGGACGGGCTGATAAGGACCTCCCGCCAATTTGGCCGCGAATCTATGTTCGTCATTTTCTGAACAAAAAAATTGGCCAGATGGTTGTGGCCACAGGTCCCAATTGGACCACAAATTTAACAAAACAGGGGCTACACCACCACGTGATTCTTATGACCTTGAACCAAAGGTGAGCCCACCGTTGAAGTATACAGGTTTTCTGGGTTCCACGATATTGCAACAGAACCGTTACACAGTAGCATTAGTATGCATTCATATTTTTTTTTGGCAGATTGGATCCCATATATTCTAACATGATTTAAATATCATATATTTAAACCTACATTATATTATAAATATATTCGATTATATACATATATATCGCATATAAATATACTTATATATATATTACATATATAATATCAAACTTATATATATATAAATCGTATTTATAGATATTTCATTTATATATATATACATCACATATATATATATATATTTGATATTTTCAAAATCTGTATACATATAATAACATAATATATATATATATATATTATTTTATTGTTTATATTGTAATATATTATATATTATGTTTTTTTAATTTTAATGAGACTCATAATTTTAATATATATATATGTGTCATATATATTATTTTTTCATTATATTGTATTATATTATAATATATTAAAACATATTATATTTTATTATAACATACTTTATTTACTATCATTATAATGATAATTGTAATTTATATTTATATTTCAGTAAAATTTATACATCATATTATATTGTATTATATCATATTTTATTATAGTATAGATATTTATATTATATTGTATTTTATTGTATTATATTATATTTTATTATATTGTTTATTATTATTATATATATTAAAATTGCATTAAATTTAATTAGATTTTTTCATATTACATTTCATTATATTTAATTCTGGTATGTGAGATTATGTTTTATTATATTATACTACATTTTATTACATTATCTTATATGTTATTTTATTTTATTATATTATTGTATATTATTGTATATTATGTGTTATTACATTTTTTCATTATATATATATATATTTTTAAAATTATATATATATATATATGTATCACATATAATATATTTTATAATCCAAATTATATGTATCACTTATATTTATATATATAATTATAAAATAATATATAAGAAGTGGTCATGCGTCGCAATCCAGCAGCAAACATTCGGCTCATCAATGTGAACGCTTTCATTCCAGGGCCTGCTACTGTGCACATATTTGGAGGAGCGAAGAAGTCTGTGCCGGGCTGCTCCTCTGAGGACGGAGCGAGATGGGCCACAACCAGAGGAGCGCAGAACATTGCGGTGTTTTGCTTTGAGACGGCCGAACTTGCCTTTTCAGACGAATCAGTGAGGTTTCAATTGATGATCGCGAGCGGCTTTCCAGTGGGGGCAATTGAGTTTCAAGCAACACCGTTTGCCCCTTGGTTGCGGTCGTTCAATGGGCTTCATGAATGCTCAGCTTTCGAAGGCATTGCTGTGTATGTCAGGAAAGGTGTCTCCCTTCAACAAATGAGTGTTGCACCTTATGGTCCTGTGGGAACCATAGTTCATGGGCCGATTGTTGGAGCACCTGCTCCAGGTGCGGCTCTCATTGCCAACTGGCCTCCAGCAGCTCCTGACCATCTACTTGGACGACAAGCCCTCAATCATCAGATGCAACAGCAGGTGGCTCAAACTGGGACAGCTTCTCAGCTGTTGACAGCTATGCAGGTGGCGGGCACTTTCTTCGTTGGGAAGCCTGCTCTTCCGTTCGGTACAGGAGGGTTTCCTCGGACGAGGTTGCAGAAAGATCTTCAGAGGCAAGTGGATGTGGCTACAGTGATAGTCAACACTGTCAATGATATCGTGAACACCGCGAATATGGCTCATGTGGCCAAGGTTGGGGCTGCGCCAATTGTGGCAGCCAAGCCTCCTCCAGGGCCAAAAGTTCGAGGAGTTGATGGTTCTTTCATTGCCTTTCCTTTGTTTGGACCTCCAGCAAAAGGAGCCCCTCCTGCTCCTGTTGCGCCTCTTGCTCCGTTGCCGCCTGTTCCGAAATTGCCTGCGGCTCACAAAGCGAAAGCTCCCGTTGCAGTTCCCAGAGCGCCAGAGTTTCCTGCTCCTTCTGTGGCATGGCCAAAAGCCGGAGCAGTGCCGCCTGTGCCTTTTGCTGTTCCAGCAAAGGCAGCTCCTTTGCTTCCGGATCAGGGTGGAGAACCAGAGCCGGCGGAGATTCCAAATGATCTTGTGGGACGAAAGGCAAGCGACATTTTGCAAAGGGTTAGAGATATCAACCTGCCAGACTTGTTCATTCAGGGTGCTGTTTTGTCATTTCTGGGTATGGGAGATGAAGCTCTTACTGCAAACAAGGTCGTTGCTGCTGCCATTTGCAAGCCATTCACAAACAGAGAATCATACGACTTGACAAAGGCATTGCTCATAGCAACAGAGCCATACACCATGTCAATGCTTCTTGCTGAACGACAGTTGCTCATGTCGTTTGCGCACGTAGCGCCAGCAGATCGACAAGCTGTGATCCCTCTCGTAGCAGGAGGATTTGGGTTCTCAGCCGAATTGCGAATGGCAGACAGTTTGACTCCGTTGTCTCCAATTGAAATGACCGAACGTGACAGGCTTGCTTGCCAGCCAGAACCATCAATGATGGGCGCAGAGGTCACGCCTCTAGCACTTGAAGTGCAGAGGCAGTTGGTCATGCGGTATGGGTACTCGATGTCGCCCACGCTCTTGGCCACCATTCGTTACAACACGAGTGGCCAGAGCGGATGGCCAGTCAACGTGGTACTTTCTGTGCCCTATTCTACCTGTGGTCGAGACGACCACGCGATGGCAGGAACCAATCGCCTGACCAGCCAAAGCGTTGTACCGCACCCATGTCTCGGAATATTCGGTGAGGATTCCTTCAAGGTTGCCAGAGAGTTCAAGTATTCAACAAACGAGACAGCGAGGGCATTGCTTTTCCGTTGGAGTGTGGAGCATCGAATGGGCAGGGAACTGCCTTTGATGATGATTCAGCCTCTTGAGAATGAGGGATTTGCTGAGCCTGTTTATGGACAAGCAAGCGTTGCATCCATATTGACGGCTCCAAGCCATGGTGATCTCATTGAACCAACATTGTTCATGACAGAATTACCTGATCCTACCCGTGTTGGATTGATTCCTCGTCAATCTCAACCTGAGTTGCATGGCTCCAATGCTCTTTTGAATCATGAAGATTTTCTCATCAATCTTCCTTGGGGCAGCACAGATTTGCAGCGTTCACTGGTGCCATTGTTGCGTGATGTGGATGCAAGAGTGTTTGATGTGCTGGATGCTTCGAGAGAAGTTTTTGGTGTGTGGTATGAACAGCCTTGTAGTATGCCTGTGTCAAAGGTAAGTGCCGAGCTGTCAAATCTTCGTGTGCGGAATCGATTCTCAGGGAACAGTGTGGCTGCTTTGGGAGATGTCAGGACGAAGAAGCGTCGCGATCTTTTCACAGAGTCATCAGCCAAAACCAAGGTGGTGAGAAGTGAAGCCTCTTCATCAGCCAAGAAAGATGACGCTGATGATGCTGGTGATGATGCAAACGCGGATTGAAGGTGCCTTCCTGCTGATAAGCTGGCATTTGCAGGAGGGATCATGATCAACAAGCCAGCATTTGAAACTTGCATGACTATGTGGGAGTCGAAGAATGAGGTGATGTCTTTTGATGACACTTTGCGGGTTGTTGATGGTGTGGATTTGGGCGTGTTGGACATTGTTGAAGTTCTTTCTCAACCTGGTCATCCATTGTTTGGTTCCATGAATTTGTATGTTTTCGGCGCTTTGTCAGATGAGAAGTATCATTCAGACAGTTTCCTTAGGGAGCTTTTGTCAAGAGGATTTGCTGAAGCACGGGAGAAGTTTCAAAAAGGTGAGGTGATTCGAACTGGCACAAGGCTCTTTGATTCCGTGGGAGATGGAGGCTTCAGCCTGCTTCATGTTCTGATGTATGGTGTTCAGATGACTTCTGAAATGGTGGAGAGTTGGGCGCGGGACACTTGTTTCTATGATCAAGAGTTGGCGCCTTACGTTGAGGTGAGATTACATGATGTTTCTGTGCTCTACACGAGAATGTTCAGAAGCGATTTGATCACCAATGGAATGAGTCGAGCTTTGTCGAAGTTGAGTGAGTTGTGGAAAAAGCATCGTCAAGCTTGGCCTTACAATCGTCTGGTTTGCCAAATTCTCTGCATCCTATTGAATCCTTCAGGGGTGGAAAGCTTTGAAGAGATGGTGGATTTGGGAGGAGGCAGGAGAGATGTCAATTCTGATCTCGCAGGTTTGAAAGCTTTGCACAGCATCAAAAGACTTGCGAGGACTTGGCCTTCTGACATCACTAGAAAGACATTCACTGGAAAGGTGGATCACAAAGGCTTAGCATCAAAGTTGTACGTGCACACTGCTTTAGGGCGGAACAACTTTGGTACAGATTACAAAGCTGATTTGGTGGATTGGGTTGATGAACCAGTGCCAAGACGATTGTTGACTCTCGAAGGTGCTCTTGATCGCCAATCTTATGTTGAGATGGAGAATGGAGTGCTTCATGAGTGTTGGAAGAAAGCTTTTTCAAATCCAGCTTGTACTGGGAGCCCTTCATGGCAAGATTTCAAAGCAACACTTCAAAGTGCGATGGGTCATGGTTTTGGAAAGACGCCGCTTGGGACATTTGAGCAGATGTATTCTGGAGATGATGTGACATCGACAGATTTGCGTGCTTGGGTGAGCTTGTATCGTGGCGGATATCTGGATGAGAGACCCAAAGGCTCTCGAAGAGCTACTATGGAAGTGTTGGATTTGGAGGAGATGCTTGAGACAGCAGACAGAGAAGCTGATGAGGTGGCAAAACTCTTCAACCTGGAATATGTCACTCTCGTGCATTTGTTTCTGAAAAGAGAAGCTGGGCGCGACAGACAGTTACAGCAGATTGGAGATTCAATGTTTTTACGAACAATGTTTCTCATGTCTCCAGTGCTCAAAACTTGGTTTTTAGATGATGAATTCATCATTGGTGAGTCTGGAAGCAGAACTTTTGAGGAGGTGGCTGAAAGACTGTTCAATTTCCAGGACAAGGGCAATGGTGGTTCAAATGTTTGCACTGATCACTCAGGATTTGAAAAGTCTCATCATCGCACATCGAATGTGTCATTTTTCCGTGAGGGAGGGAATGCAGAGAAAGCGGTGTTTGGGTCTTCAATGCATCCTGACAGGGAAGAAACATGGAGGCAGTGTGAAGAAAGAGTGCAAAATCAAATATTTGTGATTCAGGATGAAATCGACAAAGCTGTGGATGCTCTGAGAGAGAGAGACGTGGCAGAAGATTGCTATCGTATGGGCTCTTTTAGAGGAAGACCTGCTTTGTTTGTGATCGTGCATGATGGTCTCTGTTCCGCTGCTCCTGATACTATGCTTCGCAACTGCTTTCTTCACAAATCCTATGCTAAAGCTTCAGAAACATCGGCCGCTTCAGTTGCTCAAGGTAGCCCCTGTGAGCATTGAACCTTAGCGGGTAAGCGTGGCTATTGCTTCCCGCGGGCTGCTGGCGTGCAGCCTTGTGCTCTGCTGGGACAGTGCAGCCCAGCACCACCTTTGCTCGCCTGGACTGGCGGCGCTGGTGAGCTTCGTGACTGTGTATGTGCAGGTGCTTCCAGACCTACCTGCTCTTCATTTGGTTCTTGGGCCTCAAGGGTTTGAACGTTGCTCCTGATCACCTTTGCCATTCTGAACTTTGCCATCATTCGGCCAACTGCGAAGAGGTCGCTCAGAAGGAAACGCGCTGCGGCTCGTTTCCATTGGCATCTACATCGCTTGGGGCTGAGGATTTTGTCAACTGCTCAGCTGGCATCTATCAGAAGCACATTGGCAGCGCATCACAGCAAGGACCCGAGACTTCTTCGCCGTATCAGTGCAGAGATGTCCAACAGAAACCAGGACAATGGTGGTTGGATGTGCGGCAATTGCAAGAAGCTCAGGGCCAAAAATGCGTGGTTCTGCGACCTATGTGGTTCAGCCTGGGAAGAATGTATTGTTTATCCAAGACCAAACGCACAGCAATCAAGGTCGACATCACGAAGAGCTTACTGGACCGAGCCGTATCAAGCTCCGTGGGGACAAGATCATGGAGAGAAAAGTCCGAGGCAGCATCCAAAAAAGAATCGAGGCAGGGGAAAGGGCAAGCACAAGGATCGTTATCCTGCGCAGCAAGCGCCACTTGCACCGCCTCCACCGCCACCGATAGCTGGACCGGATGGACAACAGCCACCATGGATGAGCATGCCATTGCCACCTGGTGTCTCGACCTCTTCTGCCTCGACATTGTCACCTGCCGAGCAGAAATTGAAGGAGGTCTCTACTTTGCTGAAGAAGGCCAATCCGGAAAATCTCACACCAGAATTGCAACAGTTTGTGGCGGACGAAACAAAAGCGGCGACAAAGAAGGATGCGAAGACCCTTTACACTGCAGTGGATGCTCTGACCAAAGCACGCGAGGAGTTGGACACAGCACTCCTAGCAAGGAGCAACCTGATGGCACAGTGGAGAGCCTTTCTCACCATGTCCTTGGAAAGATTCAGACAGTACACGGATCACTTCCAGAATCAGGAGAAGGCACATCAGGAGAACATCCAGCTGGCCAAGGAGACCCTGCAGAAGGCGAAAGCAGACTTCAGTTCCAAGGAGGAGGCAGCGACAGTGATCTCGGACGAAGAAACCGAGTCAAAGGATGCCTCAACCAAGGAGTCCGCCGGCAAGATACTGGAGGGATTGAATCACATGACAGCAAGTTTGCAAAAGCTTTCCGAGCAAGTCGAGAAGGACCAAGCAGAAGAGGAACGGAAAGCAAAGAGACCTCGAGAAGGAGAGAAGCCAGACATTGCAATGCCATCAGGCGATTTGCCCTCAATGCAGCCTTTTGGTGTGCCCGGTCATTGATGACTCTTGAGTACTTTGATCGATGGGCGTCTTGGCCTCCTACTACAATTGCTGCGAATGTAGCTGGCATGCAATGGTCTCACACAATCCTGCAGGAGCCCACCTACAAATCGCCCTGGCAGGCAAGTGAGGACGCGATGCAACTGGCCTTCATGATGCAGCCGAGTAGTTTCATTGAGCAATGTGAGCGACCTGAATGGGGCTTTTCAGTACCTCACAGACGACATAGAAAGGGACTCAAAGTTTCCTTTGACCCATTGGTTTCTGTCCATTTTGGACCTGAATTCAGTACTTCCTGGACCACCAGCAGAGTTCCTACTGCTGAAGTTTCACAACGAGATTGGTTGCCGAAGAGCAGCGCGTTCTCACAATCCCTTTGCATTGATTTTGATGACAGCATGTCATCGCCATCCCTTTTGACTCCGTCGAGCTCTACACCAATGATGCACAGACCAGACCCGACGGAAAATCCAAATCTTCCTGATCCACCTAGTTCATCAGAAGGATCAGATGGCCGAGATCGACAAGGAAGAGTTCCATTGAGATACCTTCCAGCATGGGTGGAGACATTGTGGAACATTCTTCAAGACGAAGGTGCAACAGAGCTACTTGAAGAAGGCCCAGTGATCTATTTGACCACCTACTATCTCAGCCATCGCAACTGTGTTCGACAGGCAGCTGATCGCCCAATCCGCCTGACGCGCAGATATGATGAATGGATCGAAGAATTCAAACAAGTATGGGGCGACCTCTTTGACAGAGCGGCTGACTTTGACCTCTACCTGGTGCAGCCGGAACCCCCTATCTCCATTACAAGAGGAATAGTCGGCATCGTCCTCATCGTCCAGCATGCGCAACCAGGAAGGGCAGCGGTTTTAACAACTGCACTCTTTGATGAGCTGCCCACCCCAAGAACGCTAGAGATAGCGCACATTGTTGACATCTGGGCTGACTATGCCACGGCCTTGCATCGAGCAGAAGCCTTCGAAGCATGTCGAGAAGCTGAACGCCAAGATCTTCGACCATGTGTCCTACGTGCTGGTCGCCATGTTTTCCCCCGGGAACGTCCAATTCGAATGCACAATGGTCTTGGCCTGGTCGTCAATGTCCCCATGCTCATCAATGAAGAGGAGTGGAATTATTATATTCGCCCTCGAATGGAACAATGGGCTGATGCTGACGATATTCTACAGCCTGAGCAACATGAAGAAGCGGACCATGCGGCTATGATGGCACGAAGACCGTACAGAGTGGTTCCCACATCGTCAAGTTCGTCCACATCAGCCGCGGCATCAACCACACGCTCCAGAAGCAGGGAACCATCAAGTGGAACAAGTACCTGGTTGAGATCGGTTGTGTTCACTTCTGATGGTCATGCTGTACCATGTCTGCTTCCTGAAGATCAACATCAAGAATTTCTTCGCAGAATTGCAATAGCTCTTGAGCAAGAAGAGATTGCTGAGACCTTCACGGTCTTAGATCGCCCTGAGGATTTGGTGGCGGTCGATCTACAATGTATCCTGGCGCTCCGCAGTGGAGAGAGACGTCCCATCTCGTTTTTGCGGTTCACGCTGCTCGACCTGGAGATCATTGAAACGAATGAGGTCCTTCCTGGAGCATTTCGAAGATTGGCCAAATGGTTACCACATACCACGACACAAACATCATTATTCCGGCTCCTCTGCATTGATGATGTGGTCCGACGCCATCGAGACAAAACACATCTCTGGATCAATAACAATGCGGTTGACCCTCAACAGGACGGCCCCTTCATGCTTGAGGATGGTGATTACGTGAAAGTCTTCATTGGAGATGATGATCAACGTTTCCATTGTGATGCGACCACTGATGAGGCATCCCTTCTACAGGGCCCTGGCATTCGACAGTCAAAAGTCGGTGAGAAGCATGTGGCCCCATCTGATCGCCTTGACATCTGTGGGAGAAGGCCTGGACGTAGGCACAGGACTCCTGGTCCGTTGGCAACTGAAACAGTTGATCCGGAGCATCGCAGACTTCAAGAAATTTGGAACCGACCACATCTCCAGTCTTTGGGAACAAGAAACGAGCCCATCATGTACTTTGAGACGTGGTTCTTGAGTGCGTTAGATTTCCCGAGATGCTCAACCTCAAGACTTGCTGCGCTTCCGGCCCAAGTGCAGCTCTGGGAAGGAGCGTTGCGACAAGTTTGGAGGGATCGCCAACATCCCCATTGGCCAGTGAATCTACAATTGATTTACCCGACGCCTGTTGGGGCAGCGCATGGTGGCCATCTCCTTGTTCTACAGCATGAACATCCTGGTGAAGCTGGTGTACTACTCACCACTCATGGTAGTCCGCTCAACGACCAATTTGCACAACTTGTGCCTGGGTTGCTGCCCTATGACAGATTACTATGGTTTGCGGACCAAGAAATTCGATGTGAGGACCAGCAGTGGGTATGTCATGCTGAGCACAACCACAGGAGACTCTATGATAATGGCCCTTGGCGTGCGGAGACTGGACAACATATTGAGATCCATGTCAAGAGACGCCCTGAGCACGGTCCAAGTGTTGCAAATCCGTCCACCAGCCCATGGAGACCTGCGCCACCACAGCATCTACAGCCCACAAGCTCAATTGATGACTTTGTATTGGATACCAACGGCACCACCCTTTGTTCCAGGTGAAGCTCCGTTGGAGACTATGCCAGAAGTCATCCAAGATCTACATGAAGAATGGACGAGAACTGCAATGACATGGCAAGGAGAACAAGCCAGTGCGGAAATTGTGACATGGTTCGTTGACCAGCAAGACCCTCAACAGCGAGTTTGCTGGCATCCTCGCAACCTACGTCTCACGTCCCAATTTACAATGTGGGAGCACAGCATCTGCACACTTTGGCGCGATCGAATCCTTGCAGGTGCACAATTGGAGATTGTTTTGGTACAACCAAGACCTCCCCAACAAGCTGTCACTGTTGCGGCCCATGTCATTGTCATCCAACGACCACAACCTACAGTGGTGACAAGTCTGATCACTGTCTATGACAACACGATCAATCAGCCTGAACCCATATGGCAACTTGCGCTCACCACATGGGAGCATATCTTCCTGGAGCAGTTCATCCACAGTTTGGGGCTCACCTATCGCTGTTTGATGGCAGGTGCGGATAGACAATGCGATGGCTGGTATGGAGCGTACAGACTCATCCTGGGACGACCTCTGCAAGGTCGCGATGGTTATGGCATTGTTCTACTACTGTCTGAAAGACCACATGCAGCACCAGCGCAGCATGTTGCCATGATCCAGACACGGGTCAGACTTAGACCTGCAATTGCAACCATGAATGTGGAGGAGCCAGATCTGACGGAGCCATCACTGACACCGATTCCCCTTTCATTGGCTCAACTGATCCCTGAGATTGAAGTGGTGAAGGTGAAAGCGGCTGACCATCATCAGCCGATGCCACAGTTCATTGAGATCCCCAAGAACTCCGATGAGTTAGGTGTCACTGAGGAGCTTGCTCATTGGGGACTGCGAAGCCCAGTCTTCAGATTTGGTATCCGTGGCGACTATCTCTACTTCAATGCTGAGGAGACTCAAGGTGAATTCAATATCCACTACATGTTATGCCACGATGATGTACAAGATGAGAACGGTTCCATTCTCCACACGTCGGACAGAACCCTTGATGACAAGGATCTCATGAGGCTTCTCCACCGATTGGGCTATGAACGGGCTGTGGTCCTCTCAACTGAGATGCTTCTTCCCAGCCTATGTAGAGTCCGATTTTGGAACTGTACTCCAACTGCAGCTGGTGATGACCGCCCACCACGGACCAGAACTTCGTGGCCAAGCCGAGCGGTTACCTCGTGGACACCGAGCCCAATGTTTCCCGCCTGCGATGTCAATGCTGCGCTGCCTGCTTCATGTCAGGTTCAGACGCCTTTCAACTCCGAAGATATAGTTGAGCTTCTACAAGCCGGCAATGACACTCTGTGCACTGATTTCACTGGACTTGATTTACCCTCATTCATCAACGAGGTTATCACCACCAGTGCACCGGGCCGACTTGACGACGCGTGGGACCGATGGCTCATATTCACTGATGGCTCATCACAAACAAAAAACAAGCATCACACGCCAGAGTTTGCCGATGCGATGACTATGCCTGACACGTGGACGATGATAGTCCTGGGTGAGCGATACACCACAGACACAGACAGCATTGTTGTTCCACTTGGCTGGCAAGCACATCCAGTGCGAACTGACCCACAAGGATCCTGCTTTGTTGGATCAACCCGCATCGGTGCCGATGTGGCAGAACGGGAGGGGCTCCTGTGGGCTGGATTATGGCGGTTGTCACAAAACAGCGTTGTGCCTACAGTCTTTTGCGTTGATTCCCAAACTACTGGAGGGCAAGCAGCGGGGACGATCGGTACATCTGAGCCTGATTTGACATACCGCCTGCTGCGGGGTACGTTCCAATGTCTACAAGCTGGACTACCTTTGCACCATCTCGAGATTCATCATGTACGGTCGCACACTGGCGATCCATATAACGAGTTTGTGGACCACGTCGCCAAGCACGAGGCCCAGAACAGCTTTCACCATCGACGTTTGAAGTTGGACATGCAGAAGTGGCAACCCTATCTGCCTCACTTGTGGCTCGTGTTCGCCCGAGACCGTGGATTGCCAGCATGGAATGAGGGGCTTCATGTGTCAGCACCGGAACTTCCCATTGAGACTTTGCCTGGCAGCCCAACCTGTGATCAAAAGAAGAAGACATCGATCATTGCATGCCAGCTTGGCATTGCCACCATGAATGTCCTCTCCATCTCCAAAGGGCCCATGGGACATGGAGGAAAGCTTTACTACCTCTTTGAACAAGTCAAGGCTCATTGTCTCAATGTGGTCGGAGTACAGGAAGGCAGAAGTGAAGAAGTTTTTAGTACTTCTCATGACATCCTACGAATTGGCGCTGGTCACTGTGGAGGTCAGTATGGAGTGGAGCTTTGGATCAATCTCCGACAGCCTGTTGGCTATGATGGTCGGCGAAAACCGCAGTTCTTCAAGGTCCAGGACTTCCAAGTTTGCCACAAAGATGCACAAAGACTCATTGTGAGATGCCAAGCTGATCTGCTGGTATGTTGGTTCTTTGTTGCACATGCTCCCCACAGTGGTCACACCAGAGCCATGCGCCAACTATGGTGGGAAGAAACCGACCACCTCATGGACCAGTTTGACGACGGCACGCCATGGATTTGGATGATTGATGCCAATGCAGCACCTGGAGATGCTGACGACCTGACGGTTTTCACACCAGGATTGGCGACCAGTGCGAACACGGACCTGTTTAGGTCCTGCTTACAACGCCATGAGCTTTGCCTGGCGTCCACTCTGGCGTGTCATCAAGGACCCAGAACTACGTGGACGAGCCCGGATGGTGAGAAGGAGCATTGCATTGACTATGTAGCTATCCCGTGCATTTGGAAGCATGCCTGCACCTTCTCCAGCGTTATTGAAACGCTGGATCTCTGCACAACCAATGATGACCACAAGGCTATTGGGCTACAACTTGAATGGTCTGCAGTCAGCACCGCTGTTGCGACCAAATTGAAGAAGAGCCATCCCAACTGGAACAGTCCAGCAGTGCGCTCACAGATGAAGGAGCAGTTGACCACTTTGGCACACTGCCCTTGGCATGCGGATGTAGAAGTACAAGCGCAACATCTGTCTGGCGCGCTCCACAAGACTATGAAATCAAGCACGCAGGCACCGCGTGTAGCCAAAAAGCCGTACATCACAGCAGAGCTTTGGGCATGGCGCACTCACAAACTCAAACTCAAGCAGAGCATCTATGATCTACAGCGACAGACAAAACGCCAGCTCCTGCGACAGGTCCTACAATCCTGGAAACATGGACAGATTGAACCGGACACAGCGCTTGAAGCTGACCGCTATGTACGATCTCAATGCCGCAAAGTCAAGCTGTTGGCAGAGTATAAAAACTGCTCCAAAAAGCTCCAGAAGGGTTTGAAGCAGGCAAAGCAAACTCACCTCAAAGAATGCCTGGACAATTTGTCTCCATCGACGCCGGCGTCGGGCATTCTCCGAAGTCTGCGTAGCTACATTGGGCCCACCAATGTCAAAATGTGCAAGCAAAAGACCATCCCACTGGTCCATGACGCTGACGGCGTCTTGTGCAAGACACCTGAAGCCGCCCTCGACACTTGGGTCAGCTTTTTCAAAAACATGGAAGGCGGACAACGCATTCCACATGAAGTTTTGCAAAAAAGGTGGAGGGAAAGCCTCGCACAACAACGCCAAAATGAGATCCAGCTTGCCTGCACTGCCCTGCCGACTCTTACAGATCTTGAGCTGGCCATGAGATCCACATCCTGTGGCAAAGCCCAAGGGGCCGACAATATTCCAGGAGAACTTCTTCACTACTTCCCTGTGGAATTGGCGGCCCAGGTCTACCCTGCACTTTGGAAGCTACTTCTACATGGACAGGAGGACCTTTCCTACAAGGGTGGCAAGCTTGTACAAGCATACAAGGGCCGTGGACCCAAACATCTATGTGAATCTTTTCGTTCACTTCTGATTTCAAGTCAGATCGGCAAAGCCATTCATCGAACGATTAGAACCTATCAGGCGGACATCTTTGAGAAGTTCATGCAGAAACATCAGGTCGGCGGTAAGCGCAAAATGCCCGTGACCTATGGACTACATCAAGTCCGAGCTCACCTTCGACACGCCCAGCGTCAAGGAGATTGTGCAGCTGTCGTATTTGTCGATTTGACGGAAGCATTTTATCGAATCTTCCGGCCTCTCTGCATGACCAGCACCATCAGCGATGAGACCTTAGCGGCCTTCTTGAGCAAGCTGAACATGCCGGCTTCTGCCTTACATGAGCTCTGGGCACTACTGGATGGCCCACACGCACTCCATATGGCTGGTCTTCCAGAACATCTCCAGCGCAGCATCGCCGCTATTCACAGCAATACGCACTTCTGGATGCACACACAAACTGACGTTGTCGAGACGCAGTTTGGTTCACGCCCTGGAGATCCCTTTGCGGATGTTTGCTTCAGCTACGTTTGGGCTCGTGTGCTATTGCGGCTACAAACTTACATGGAAGAACAGGGGCTTGCAGACTTCTACCCACAGTTGCCGCAACTTGATCTCTTCGGCAGTGCACGAACTATGGAGGCAACCGGCGAGTTCACCAGCTTCATCGGCCCCACGTGGATGGACGACACTGCAGTCTGCATTCGGGGCAAGACCGTCCCAGAGTTGCTCAACAAAGTCACCCAGACAGCTGGCAAACTTCTTGAGCTGAGTGTCGAGCATGGAATGTCTCCTAACCTCAAGAGAGGAAAGTCGGAGATCCTTCTCAGTCTGAGAGGACGGAACTCCCGTAAGCACAAAATTGAGCTCTTTGGCCCACAAGCCTCGTTGACGCTCCCGATCCTCACGGAGCACACGGCCTATGACATGCCCATCACCAACAAGTATTTGCATTTGGGAGGGCTCTTACATCATGGACGTGATCAACGCACTGAAGTCAAACGCCGTCTGGCGCTGGCACATGCGGCATTCAACCAGCACAGAAAGGTGTTATACCACAATCAACAGATACCGCTGGCCAAGAGATGTGAACTCTTCCAGATCCTCATAGTGACCAAGATGCTTTATGGCTCTGAAAGCTGGTTGATCACTGATGATCGTACGGTCAAAATGTTTCATGCCGCAATTCTCAAGTTGTATCGCAGACTTTTGAAACTGCCTCGCGATCAACATTGGTGCACGGACAAGATCCTTGCAGAAGTGGGTCTCCCGTCTCCAGACACTCTCTTGCGGAGACAGAGATTGAGATACCTTGGCACTCTGTTTCGTTGCGGCACTCCGCATGACTGGGGATTCTTCTCAGAGGACATTGACTGGTGTGCATATCTGGAAAAGGACATTGAATGGATGTGGAAGCAGCTCCAGAGAAGCTCTGACCTTCCTGACCCCCAGGTTGATTATGCATACTGGATTCGCATCATTCGATGCTATCCGAAGTTTTGGAAGCGCCTTGTGAGAAGAGCCACGGCGCATGAGGTCATGCAGCAGCAACGAGTTTGGAAAGTGCGTGAATTTCACATCTATGCGGTTGACCGCCTGCAGATGCTCTTTGGGCCCTTTGAGGTGATGACACGCAGGATCGAAGAGGAACAGACCCGCACATGGTTTGGTTGTCTCTACTGCCAGACTCGCTGCGCAACCAAGGCAGGGGAAGCAGCGCACATGTTCCGCATGCATGGCCATATTGCTGACGTGCGGAAGTTCATCTCCGAGCCGACATGTCCAGCGTGCCTGCGAGTCTTCCACACGATGCAGAAGACGAAGGCGCATTTGCATTACTCGGCACGATGCCGCAGCATCCTGCAAAGCCGCCCACCTACGGCAGAAATGGCACCAGGAGCAGGCTCTACGATTGATCGAAAACTTCATGACCAACATGACCGCTTGCTCCCACCGGTACAGGCAGAAGGACCACATAACCAGACACCGCGACTTCGTGAAGATCCGAAGATTCATCATGACTTCTTCATCTTCCTCACGGACCTGGTCGTACCTAGCATGTGCTTGGTGAACTTTGAGCACATTGCGCGAACCTTTGCCACAGACCACGCAATTTCCTGGACTTTGTGGACAAGCACCCTTCGGTTTTTCGAGGAGGCCTTTAACCTTGAGGATGGACAGTTTGCTGGCATTGCCATTGAAGATATGAAGAAAACTCTGGAGCATTTGTGTGATCCTGAGACATTTCCCTTCATGGAAGCCCAACGGTCCACCACACAGGCCCCTGAAGACCTGACAGCCTTGGAACAGAGTTGCCTAAACGTTCCACAAGATAGTGAGCATCTCCTTGGCACTGGCCCGGCCAGCTTCGGACGCCATCGAGTTCTCCTACACGCGTACTCAGGCAGACGCCGGCCAGGAGATTTGCAGTACTTTCTGGAACATTTTCATCAAGCTCAAGGACATCACAATTATGTGCTCCACATCGTTTCAATGGACATCGTCATTGACGCCCAATATGGGGATGCCCGCAATGAAAAGACTCGCAGCTACTGGCTCGCAGCCATCCGGGATCGGAAGGTGGTTGCTTTCATTGCTGGCCCCCCCTGCGAAACGTGGACCGCAGCCAGGGAGCACCAATTACAAGATGGCCGACGTGGGCCAAGACCAGTGAGGAGTGCAGATGAGTTGTGGGGGCTCTTTTGCATGCAGCTCCGTGAGCTTTGCCAGGTTTGCATTGGCAACGAGCTCCTGATCTTTGCGCTCCAGGCCTTCATCGAGCTCATGGCGACTGGAGGATGTGGTCTCTTGGAGCACCCGGCACCACCGCCGAAGCAGAACTCTCCTAGCATCTGGAAGTTGCCTATCATGCAGGCGTTACAACGACATCCAGCTGTTGAGACGTGTCGCTTTGCCCAAGGACTTCTGGGAGCCCCGTCGCCGAAACCGACGCAACTTCTCCTTTTGAATTTACCGAATATGATTTTGGCGCTACACCAGTGGCGCGTGTGCAGTGAGCTCCCTAGAAGCTCTGCCATCGGTGTCGATTCATCTGGAGCGTGGCGAACAGCGCCACTTAAGGAATATCCTCCTGCGATGTGTGCAGCCATCGCTGAGGTTCTGTCCAGAGTAATTAGTTCTTTCCCGCAGTGCCAAGCACAGGAACCGCTGCCATCGGAACTCCAATTGTGGAACCATCTTTGTGCCACGCATTACGGCACACACATTGGGGCCGATTTTGTGGCAAAGCGATGAGGCACGGGGAATTGAACTCTGCAATAGGCCGCTGCGACAGCAACTGGATGCCTAAAGGAAAAAAAATGTATCACATATAATATATTTTATAATCCAAATTATATGTATCACTTATATTTATATATATAATTATAAAATAATATGTATGTTTTTTTTTTTATATAGAGACGAGCCACGGGCCGAATCCCAGCGATCCCAGGTGTTGCGGGAGATACCGTGGTCTTCGAGGAAGTCACAGGCCTGGGCCATGGGGAGACAATGGTGATGGATTCATAGAAGTAGAAAGGGACCATTTTGATGGGTTTTACCATGAAAACCGGTGATTTAATGGGAAAAAAAGTGGGATTTGATGAAGAAAAATGATGATTTCATGGGATATTCATGGAAATAGTGTGGGAATATAATGGAAAAATATCACCAATAATATGTGATATGGTATTTCATAGCCCTTTGGTTGATGATTTTTAGTAGTACAGTAATTGCATTGGTTTTTGAGCGTCACTTGATATGGGGATGTAAATGGATATGAACTGATAAATGATGGTTGGTTGCTGGTTAGTTCGGGGATTAGTCACTAACCAGCAGAGATTTTTCGGGATTATCACAACATGGGGAATCCCGTTCTCAAAAAGGGCGAGTATCAAAATGAAGAACATTGCTCAAGTCATGGTCATTTGGTAGATGGGGTATGGTCAGATTGATGGTTTATATTATCATAATTTTTCCACTACATTTTCGTCATCTACATTTTTTGGAAGAACTGAATCGTTTTATAATTGGGTGAAACTTTTTCACACCAACTGGTGCAAATACCTCACTTATACCACCGTGAAGACAGCTTGAGGTAACTGGTTGCAGGGTTCGTCACTGTAGAGGGAGAAACGCCGTTTAAGTCCTAAGATGGATTCCTCCTTCCTTCCTTGGTATTTTGACCCAGCAAAAAGAATCCTTCCCAAGTTGGCGCCTTGTAAGACACCAAGAATCACCAAGATGTGTGAACCAAGAAAGGTCACATCAGCAAGGACATCATATTTTCACACCATTTTGTTTTGGAGTTCTAGAAGTTGAATTTGACTGGGACCTATAAAAATAATGAATACCATAATTATACCATTAATACCAGTATTACTACTAGTTGAATACCATTCATACCATTTTCCATCAATGTACCATGGTTCAGGCACTGCTTTGAGATGTCTAGAGAGACAGACGTTGGTTGACACAGCTGAGGAATGATTGTGGAATTCCGGCAGGCACGGGCAGCAAGGTCAATTTTTTCTTTTAAAAACAACACCAAAAAAGGAAATTACTTTACTTCGTGTGATCCCCACCATGACATTTATACATTTTCTTACTGGCAAATCTTCTGGCATTCTATCTGACATATCTTCTGACATTCTATTTGGCATTCTATCTGGCATATCTTCTGGCATATGTTCTGGCATATCTTCTGGCAAATCTTCTGGCATTCTATCTGGCAAATCTTCTGCCATTCTATCTGGCATATCTTCTGGCACTCTATCTGACATATCTTCTGGCATTCTATCTGGCATATCTATCTGGCATATCTTCTGGCATATTTTCTGGCATTCTATCTGGCAAATCTTCTGGCATTCTATCTGGCATTCTATCTGGCATATCTTCTGGCATATTATCTGGCATTCTATCTGGCATATCTTCTGGCATATATTCTGACATCTCTTCTGGCATTCTATCTGGCATTCTATTTGGCATTCTATCTGGCATATCTTCTGGCATATCTTCTGACATTCTTTCTGACATTCTTTCTAACTTTCTTCTGCACATTCTTTGTCCCATATCTTCCTACATGAGGTCCGGCAGGGAACACTTGGCATGGATTCCCGCGGTTGAGGTCCGGCAGGGAACACTTGGCATGGATACTCGCAGATGAGGTCCGGCAGGGAACACTGGGCGTGGCTGGTCGTGGTTGAGGTCCGGCAGGGAACACTGGGCGTGGATGGTCGTGGTTGAGGTCCGGCAGGGAACACTGTGGATCGCGGGTCGCAGTTGGACGAGGACGACGAGGACGACGAGGACGACGAGGACGACGAGGACGACGAGGACGACGAGGACGACAAGGACGACAAGGATGACAAGGAGGACGAGGAGGACGAGGAGGAGAGGAGGAGGAGGAGGAGGACGAGGCAGGAGGAGGCAACTGACATAAAATCTAACAACCCTCACCTGGCAGGTGGGGAAAAACATGTTTCCAGCAATACTTATATATATATATATGTATATTTATAGATGATATTCACTTGATATTTCCTTTCCAGGTTTCCAATTTGCTCGATCCTTTTTTGGGATATTATATCTACCTGCAAATCAGTGTAACTAGGGAACGAAGTTCCCGATTGTCAGGGAGCCTGGTGGAACGTACTCTCAGAGAGGGTGCAGCTTTGGCACAAGTGCTGGAAGCTGAGAGGATTCCAGTGATTCCAGTTGCCACAAGAGCAGGGAAAAAATCTCTGGAACTCCATCCATTCTTCTTAGCAGCAATTGCTAGGCACCGAAGGTACTATCTGGTACTGTGTTTTTTTTCGCCCATCTTTGTGATAATCCCAAAGCCAACATGCTATAGAGCTAGCCGATTGCCCTCTACGGCCCGACATTGGCCGATGTCACAGATGATGCAAACTTTTTGAGGGAAAGACCTATGATTCAAAAAAGATGGATATTGATGGTCAAGAAAACTTATATAATACCCGTTTGTGTTGCTCAAGGGGTATGATGATATATTGTTTAAATATAGTATTCCTGCAATATTCTTTTGGTTATTCATATTGAAGAATAATTCATCAATGAGTGATTGGACTGGATCCAGCTTATCTGCGATTCCTGTTTATTGGGATCATACAATTCAGGATAATGCACGTTACAGAGATAAACGCATCCATTAAAAAAACATTGATATATTATTGTCAATTTTATCAAGGATGAGGTATACCCATTATTTATAATCAAACAATATTGTTTTAACATATTGTTTCAACATCTTATTCTCATATATTCTCATAAACCTGGTATGATCTCTGTAATTTCTCCATTCTTCCTGGAAAATTCGACTTGGCTCAGGTTTCGACGCTTTCATGAGCCAATGCAGTCCACCCAGCGGTCGGTGCCCCTGGATGTCGAAAACGCATGGTGAAACCCGCTCGGCAAATGATCTAAAAACGTGGCTTTTCACGGGTTTTCTGGGCAAAACAGGATGGTAATTTCTTGAGCATCACACTCCCATGGGAAAACATCAATTTTGCCCCCTCCATGTAATTTCCAAATGACATTTGTCATATTTGTCAATCCTTTTGTTGGGAAATTTGCCAAACATCAGCAAGAAATTACATGTCAACAACTAGATGTTTGTTCGCTTTCCAGTCTTTTTTTGAGGGATTACAATATATTCATGGAATTACTTTATACCTTTTGCTGAAAACTCCCAGATGTCCTGAGGCTCAGCCAACTTCTTCCTGGACATTGCGGCCAAACTCGAGCATTTCCCTCAAATGGTGACCCACTGGAACGGTTTAATCGGTGATGGAGGTGGTAAAACCCCTAGTAAAACCCATAGTAAATATTAGCAAACCCATAGCAAACCATGTAAAACCCATAGTAAAACCCATAGTAAAACCCATAGTAAAACCCATGTATTGTTGCGTTTTCAAGAGATGAAGAACTTGAGAAGTTCGTTGTTTGCCAATGTCGAAGCGATTCTTGGTTGAAGCGTTTCAGAGTTTCTTTCGTCCAGGCTATCGTGATTTATGGGGGTTTCCAGAAATGGGGATACCCCCAAAATGGATGGTTTAGAATAGAAAATCCCATGAAAATGAATGATCTAGGGGACCCCCATTTCTTGAGCCTTGAAAGCGGCCTTTACTTCCAGGCCTGACCTTTATGCACGAGAACAGTCGCTTGGCAAGTTGGAAGTTCTGGACTCTCAGCTGTCTAAGCAGACATAAGACAGACATAGCATTTTTGATTAACACTGAAGGAGTAGCATGTATAGTCTATTTATGTCAATTTTATTCAATAGAAACTGTGACTTTTCAGAGTCATTCTTAGGATCATCGGATGAGATTCAAAAACCGGGTGACTTCCTGTCGATCGCAGGTTGGTCTTGTTGGCCATTGCACGGGAGCTGCTCTTGCCATCGCAGGAGAGGGATCCGATGTAGGCGATGGTCGTTTTGCATCCTCCTTACCAGGGGTATACCCTCTGGTAAACTAACATAGCTATTGAAAATTGCCATTTATAGTGGATTTTCCCATTAAAAATTGTGGTTTTCTATAGTTATGTTAGTTTACCAGAGGGTACCCAATTTCAATCAATTTCATAAACCTCGAACTTGGCAACGATGGCATTGGGTGGCACCGCTATGCCGCTATTGAGGCTATTGAGTTTTTAGTGGCCCCTATCCATTTTACTCATGTTTTCCCCAGATCAAACGAGTTTGGGAAGGACAAAGGATCACATGAAGAACAGCTGGACCAGTTGCAACCCGACCGCAGGGGGACTGCGATGGGATGGGATGGGCACGGTAGTGCTGCGTCCAGGGCCCCAAGATGGGCTAGGTTCATCACACGTGGCCAAGGGATTTGGGACCCAAAAACCATTGGTTTCGACATGAAAAAAATCCCAATGAGCCCACCCCTCCATTTCGGTGCTGACGCTCCAAGGAAGGTGGGTCTGTTGTTGATCCTCACCGGCACCACTCCTGACTTGACGGCTGACCTGGAATTATCACCGCTGGAGCCGCTGGGGACCATGGTGGATGACTTAACTCTCGGGGCAAGCCAGCTAGCTGCTACTAGCTTTAGCATTGATTGGCTCTTATCGGCTTTCGCGAAACCATCCGGGCAGTCTTTGTTCGACTTGGGATGCCAATGACCCACTGTACTTCAGAAAACTCTGTTTTTCGGGTTGCCAAACTCGCAGAAAACATCAATCTGGTCCATATGATCACATCAAAAAGTGGATTCATAATGATATGGTCTCATTATTCAATAAATGATCTTCATCAATCTTCATCATTCAGATTTGTGGATTCCTTCGCCATGGGCCGTTCACTGCGGATAGCTTTCTGGCTGCCTTGTGCTGCGCTGCTCCTTCCATCAGATCTGTCCTGGGCCTGGGCTGATGCTGGGCCGCGGCGTCGGATGGTTGCGGCGACGAGTGCCGGCAACTTGGATAGCAATGGATTGAAGGGAACGTCTACAGGAAACCATGGATTTTCCATGATTTTCCCATGAAATGTGGGGTTTCCTGTAAATATTTCCTTTAACCAATCCATTGAGCACAGAACATGTTCTATGTTGCTACACTTTTCTGATGCAAAATTTGTTTCTTGTGAGGCGTCCCAAAAGTCATAGAGGAACCATGAGAAACCCAATCTTTTTGAAATCAAATCCTACTTTGACGTTGGGGAATCATTTGGCTGCCAAACTTCTATACCATTTTCATCCATTTTCAAAACAAAATGATGTGAAGATCCCAAGCGTATTACGGAAAAATCTTGGTGGATCTACATTTGGCCTTCCGACCTTTCAGTTTCTTTTTGGATAATTTGGATACGAAGCATTCAGAACATTTCACAACCAGAATCATTTTCTATCTCATACTTGGAGTGCTCAATTTCAACATCTTTCAACATCTTTCAACGTATGTTTCCTCAAGATTCTTTAAGCCACCCGTTTCATCCATCGTCCACCGTCCGGCCTCCAAGGCCTCCTTCCCTGGTTGAGCTCCTGTGCCCGGGCCACGTCCGACTTGCCCAAGCGCGCGCTGATCACCGGAGCCAACTCGGGCATCGGCTTGGCCACGGCCATGGCACTGGCTGAGAAGGGCTGGGAGGTGCTGCCCCTGTGCAGATCGCCACAGAAGCTGCGCGAAACCCTGGAGGCCACGAGATTGGAGATTGGAGATGCGTGGGCATGATTACTCTGTATATCTTATAATTATATTCCTATAATTTCCTATATATATTCTTATATATATATAATTATCATATTGCTAATATTAAGAATGAATTGAATGCATTGTTAATTATGAAGGGGCTGCTGCTGCTGCTGATGATGATGATGATGATGATGATGTGGAGTAACTCTATAGTCTATAGTTGGTGGATTCATTTCCTTAAATGTTCGGCCATATTTAGGGATGATACAAAATGACGAGCATTTGGGGGATAACCACGGAGCGCATATGATATGGGAATATGGGAATCTTTCCAGAATTGAGGATACAGTACTTTTTGTAAAATGTGAAATGATATGTGAGTCTCATCACAGAAAAAGACGATATTGTGATGAGGGAATGAATCATTTGTATATATCAAATACGATACGACTTTAACAAAAACATGTGAATTTCATTTGCCCAGAATTCTTGGAAAAACCCTGGATCAATATTGATTGGGCTGTTTCGTTGGGAGGACGCCATTTTAGTGGCAGATGAAGTCACACTTTTTCTGGGGGCACCCCACTTTTTATTGGTCGTTTCGTGCATCCCAACCATCATCCAGACCTCCAACGTCACATGCTAAAAATCATCCTTCAAAAAAAAATATGGTTCATAATTCATAATTTTCTCTCATGAAATTGCAGTTTCGGCGTAGACCTTATTTTTTGACAAACCCATTTCCATGATTCATTTACTGATATCCATGATTTTGAATAGTTAAATCCCTATGTTGGCTAATTCAAGTCCCTCAAACTTGGCAACAAAATCCCCGAAACAAAACCGGAACAAAGCCAGGACATTACGGACCTTTTCCCAGACGCCAAGTTGGACACTTCCGCGGCCCCCTGCGAACTCTCGGACCTGCGTTCGGTGGCCACTTGCGTGCGAAGTCTGGCCACTCGAAACTTGGATGCCTTGATCTTCAACGCGGGGATCGATGGGGCACCGTTCCAAAAGACGCCACAGGGACATGAACTGCACTTTGCGGTGAATCACCTGGGGCACTTCGCATTGTACCAAGGATTGAAACTTGGAATGTTCAAAGTCTGGCCGGGCTTTTTGGATTTTTTTTTTGGGCATCTGAATAGCATCTAATAGCAGAGAGATCATAAAGAGGAGTGGGGAGATTTGTTTGATAGTCAACATGCTGGCAATGTTGCCGAAGGCTTCGCAAAGTTGCGAACACCACAGCAAAACATGTTTTACACTCCCACAATTGACCCACAAATCCTGCAGCACTGATAGTAGGAAATAATAAGAAATAGCTCAAAACCTCACATTGTAGGTATTTATTGACATCCCCAACCAGAGGTTTTGGTTCTCGAAGGATGATCACAAGGGTACCAGGTGCTGAAAGAGCGACCTTAAAGCCTCCTCACACATTTTCTGAGGTCAAGGCCCAGTATGTCCTATTTTTGTTTGTGATTGTCTAATATTGTTTATTTGTGATATGTGTGCATATTATGCTGCTTCATTGTTTAGTATACATTATTTTCACTTATATATATATAGCTATTTTATAATACAATATGTATATATAAAAGTAATAACAATTAATAATAACAATAATAATAGTAATAAGAATGACAATTATAGCAACAATATATATGTATATATATATATATACACGCCATATTCTCTCTCAGATCTTTAGAGCTCTTGCTCCGTCCCCATCTAACGGCCCCTGCCATTGACCCAGGAAGGGCTCGCTGCGATCAGATCATCGCGTCGTCTCTGTAACCTCATCGGCGGCGTTGGACGCGCAACTGGATCTGGCGGATTTGACGTGGGAGAAGAGGAGATGACAGGGGATTCCCCCCCAAAAATGCTGACGAATTTCCCATAGAAATGGTGATTTCACCCAGCAAAATGGTGATTTAAGCCATAGCGACGATGATGTCACGGGCGGAAGTGGAGATTTCACCAGCAGAAATGATGATTTCACCAGCAGAAATGGCAATTTTTCAACGGCAAAAATGATGATTTGACCAACTGATACTTGGGAGATACTTATAGTTTTGATCAATTTTCGATTTTGTCCTAATCAATCCAGTGAGGAGATTGTGAACTGATCAACTTATTAATCATTGAATTAATCCAGGGAGGTCTGTCAGGAGCTCAGGTCAACCCAGCATTAATAACGGATTGGTAGTTGCAACTTTTTTTTGTTTGAATTTCAACCATGTTTGGGATCATGAACCCCAACTGATCACTTTTTTGGGGGGGTAGCAATATGTCTGAGCCATTTCCCAAACATATCCCCATGAAAACCAGGGGTTATATAATATATATATATATATATCATGATTTTCCATCCTCGGCCGAGTACCGTTCCCCACCCTCTCTCTGCTTGGGCGTGTTTTTTTTTCCCCCGAAGCAATATTATGGAGGTTCTCTAAGGGTACCCCCAATCATCCATGTCACTAGACCATGACTCAGTAATGAAACAACCATGGTGACTTGGGGATACCCCATGACTTAAGAACCCCCCCATAATTATATAGAAAGTGGTTAGTAACAATATTACAGCCCATTATAACATTGGATTACCTATAAGATTGAATTGGTAGTGTATTATTGCTGATTTATGATTGGATCATTGGATAAATCCAAAACAATCAGGAGCTCCAATGATGATTCCAATGATTGATACATGCGATATATGATTGATAAGGCCCTGATTCTGATTTGTTGTATCATTATCGATAATGCAATATCATCCCCAACCTTGTATAGGTAGCATTACATACATGGAAAATCACCATAACTAGCAAAATATGATGTAGTTTTTTGTTGACTACTAAAGATTGACCATGATTGACAAAAAACTTTGGTAGTCAAACTTTGGCGATCATTTTTCAAAATTTCAGGGCTCCTTTTGATTGACCATGATATTCTCAGTTGCCCTGAGAATTTTGAAAGGAGCTACGGCCGGCACGATGCCTACGCGACCTCCAAGAAATGCAACGTGCTCTTTAGCGACCAGCTTTCGCGACGCCTTCGCGCCGCGGGAACCATGGGGAGCTCCAACTGCATTGATCCAGGGCCAACAGCGACGCAGATTGTGACTGCAGAGGTTTATTACTGTAACGATTAATTTTCTAAAAACTTTTCATCCATGTTTGCAAACAATATCATTCAATTGTCAAACAGTTTTTGATACGCCACTCTTAAATAGTTGTAGTTTTACAATTTTGAAAACGTACCTCTTAATCGTGTCAAGAGATTTTGATACGTTTTCAGGAGTTTTTGATTCTGTAGATTTGTAGACATGCTCAGGTTAATCATTAATTTTGGAGTGGGTGGGATATCGAACCGTTGTAGACTCAGCAATATACTATGTACATACCTATAATTCCCATTAATTCTACCATTTGGCTGTTTGATAAAGCTTCAACGCTCGGAGTTTCTTCAGGTTGGGTTTCCCACATTCGCTCCAGGTGAGATATGCCTACCCGGAGCGCGCCTTACAACGGAAGGACATGACTCCTGTGCAGCTGGAAAAACAAGCCAGGATGTTTGGACTGAAGACTCCAAGCCAGGCAAGTGGTTTGAAAAATAGCTGTGGCCCTCTACCCCCAAGGTATGGCAATCTTATTGGTATCAGCCCGATCAGCGGATTTCGGCCTTGGCCTTTGTCCCCAGGATCATCAAGGGTACCCAGAAATGAGATGGTTTCAGGATAGAGATGGTGTCATCAAACATTGGACACTTTCTGATGTTTTTGCCATTGACATGTCCAATTAATCGAGGATTTTCACCTTCATTTTTCCCAATACTTCCATGGTTCCCCTTAAAAACCTCCATCCCTTCACCTTCAAAGCGCCATTTCTTCCATGAAAAACCACAATTTTTCCCGGTGATTTCCCAGGCGGCTCAGGGCCTGGTTTGGCTCAGCGACTCCCCGGACGTACGCCAGGTGCCGGACGGCCAGTGGTGGAGCGGCCCCGCGAGGCTCTTCCCCGTGGTGGATGTGCCGTGGCGCAACGAGGCAATGGCGCAGCAGCTCTGGGAGAAGAGCGAGGAATTGGTGAAGCCATTTCTGGCCTGAAGATTTTTTTGGGGGGATCTAATAGAATCTTCATGAATCTTCATGGAAATTTTATAATGTGGTTGGTACATCTTGGTACATTTTGACACACCCTCCGGTGTCATCAAACATGGCCCTGAACTAGCTATGGAGGTTTATAGCTGGGAAAATTGTCACCCTCCGGTAGACTTCGAAAAAACGAAAAAGAAATTGATGTTTGTTTCCCAGCTCGTAAATGATCTACAAATGGATCACCATGGTGTGAAGATGTGGGTTGTGTCTGAAAAATAGGTGATACCATGGGATACCCATAAAACATCATAAAACCTTTTAATGGAAGATATCATGATTGCCCATGTCAAGATATTTGATGGATCAATCCGGGTCAAGAGATTGCAATCTCTGGAGCTGATATTTGAAAATAGGGATTTCTACTAGCCAAAATGGGGATTCAACCAATGAATCATGGATATGGGTCACCCAACATGGCAATTTTTTGATAGGGCAAATGATTTAGAAACATGGCTTTTGGCGATCGCCTATTTCCAGACAAACCTACATTTCGGCAGTAGGTCAACATTTAAAAGGCCACAGATTTCCAAGTGATCTCTGAAGATTTAGCGATCTGGATGCTGGGACCAAAGAGTCCCAACTGTGCTCGATTCATTTGAAGGATGTGCTGTCACCCTTGCCAGCAAGAGCGCCTGCCGGTTTCACAACTTGGGATGATTCGTAATATTCACAACGAACTGATCATTTTCTAGAACATCTTCTGTCGTTCTGCAACCAGATGTTTGTCCAAACATGGGGTCCCCATGGGTCCCCCAAAATCCAGTGGCTTCAGTTGGGCTAAAATTCAGAACTCCACTGGCTCCGAGTCAGGACCTGTCCTACAAGACCATCTGCTCCCTAGTGAAGCGCGTCCCCGAGCACGTGAAGGTGGATCTGATCGGAACAGAACGTGTTTCAAAAGATCAAATCCCTGCAAGGTTCTGAAAGAATCCAAAAGCCCAAAAAACTTGGGGGTTCCAGGAAATGGAGAATCAAAATCCCAGCATTTCATAGTGGTAAGGAGAAACTTTACCTTGCAACACAGACCTGGAACAGCAAAAGCTGCGCCATAAAGCTATTCCTTGCCTTTTTTGTGCCAGATCCCCAATTGCAGAAGACCAATGTCCTGCTGTTCTGTTGACCCATTGTAGTCCATTGAAGTGCGATGTCATGTTGGCAACATCAGACACGGATTATGGGGATTATTTTTAATTTTGATCATGTTTCATCCGAGACTACTTTGGTTTGTTCAACAGATAGCCCAAATGACCCGTTCATGTTCCAACCCATCTGCGAGGCTTTACCCCTTCAGGGGGAAGGGGCCCTGATCGACATCAAAGCGAAGTCTTCCTTCGGTGCGTCGAGGGATGCTGGGGTAGTCATTGGGGGACACAGCGGGAAGCCACAAATCGCTGGTCGTTTTTTTTTCTTTAAGGAGGATAGGAGGCTTGAACCATCTTTTTTTTGGTGGGGCTGGATGATCATCATGTCCCATAGGCGGCTATAAAGAAGAACGAAAGAACACAACATGTGGGCAAGAAACCCGACATCGGAGACTACTGGCAAGTGGAAACTCAATCCACAGAAAAGGAAGAAGACCGTGACCAGGGTAAATGGGACGATGGGCGAGAACTCAAACGCTTATTTACAAGCAACAAACAACTGGATGTAACTAACATTCATCATTAACATTCATCATTAATTAATCAACCCAAATATGGGAAATCCAGTGCAAAGGAGAGAAAATCAATGGCAGCATCAACCAGCTGTTTTTGCCAGCCACCTGCATCATGATATCATGACCCATGGCTCCAAGCCTCGATTTCATGAGAAAATTTCCAGGTGCCAGTGGCAAGGATGGTACAGCAGGATCTGCATGAGTCCCGGTTACAAGGGGCACCTTCGCTTTGGAAAGTGGCTGGAGTACAAAGTCTTCAACATCAACTTCAGCAAAATTTCACAAACAAAATTCCAATTGACATCATTTTACATCGCCAATTTCAGTGAATTACTTGTAATATCTTGTAATATCTTGTAGTTTATCCAGATTGATCCCTAATTTCTATTCCTTTTCGAAGTTGAGGGCTGCAACACCCAAAACCTGTGAGGTGCTTTCACCGCAGGGAGGTCCTCGGAGTGAGCCCGGAACCTTGAGCAGCGGAACACAGGTGATGAATGTGTTTGGGAAGCCATAGAAATATGGTGTTTTTAACAGAAATATGTGGCTAGGAAGCCATAGAAATATGTGGTTTGGAACCTCGAAATTTGGGGATTTTCCAGCATGTTTGATTACCAGAGGGTAAGAACCATAGAGAAACTGCTGAATGAGAGAAACTATGTATCCCCAGGGCGCTAGAGATGGCTGGCCTTGATCGTTGCCAGTGCTGGACGGGTCCGAAAATGGGTGTCAGAAAATGGGGTACATCATGGTATATCCTCAATTTTATGTTTTTTTTTAAGGATATCATGATAAGAAAATGATAAACCAGTGGACTATGATGGAATTGTTTTTTCCGCATCACTTTCAGGTACCAAACCCAGCTGTCACCGTTTCGTCAAATCATGCGAGGTTGGTTTCTTTCCTGGAGACTGGCATCAGTTCGCTGATCAATTGCGATGAGCTATCGCTGGCTGATCAAGTGGCATCAGGCCGACTTCAACTGCGACCTCAAAGCACTGTTCTTTTGGGAGACAAGAAAATATGGGGATTGGTCAAAACCTGTAAATATTACGTATATATATATGATTATGTATGCATATGTATATATATATACCATGTTTTGGAGAGATGAACATCCATTTGTCATCATTTGACAGCTATTTTGAAGTGTTCACAGAAGGGGATTCCCAGATGACGCCCGCGTCCTGCCACTTTGTCCCCTTAGAACCTGCTCTACCTGTAGAATCCACACGAATTTCGAACAAATTCACACATCTTCATTTGTTTGGCCAGTCCGAAACATGATTACAAGGTAAAAAACATGACAGCATCATACTGATTGCAACCTAATATGGAAGAACACACAGACATTTTATAAAAAACAGCAATTGTCAACCAACAAAATCACTGACCAATCTGACGAGTTTTGTTTTTCGCGAAAAAGTTCGCTGCAGGTTTCGGCTTCGAAAGCTCGGACCAAAAGCTGGCCATGACTTTGGCATCCGTGGCCGGTGGGATTCCCAGATCACATCAGCATCCATGGAAAGATCTGTGGAAAACTGGGGGAGTTCAGCGAGAAAAATGATGGTTTCATGGGGATAGACTAGGGATTTCAATGGAGGATCCATAGATTGGATTCATGTGATGTATTTTTTTTGAACAATTTTTGCCAAAATGCGAAAGACGCAGCTGGAATATATAGACACCAAAAATTACAGGTTTGAGGTTGAGCATGCGCTAAGTAGATGGGTAGACCTCCATGTTTCACAAGCAGTGGGTACATGATACCTGATTTGAGAACATGACTGGAAAATGGTTAAATCCGACTGTTCTATTTTTGTTGATCAATTTGCATCCTATAGTTTGTTTACCCTTCACGTTTGGTGTAATCCCACAAGTGAAGGGAAAATCTACAGGCTTCACAATCCATAGCTGGTTGATGGTTTGGAACATTTTTTATTTTTCCCACATATTGGGAATACTAACCCCAACTGACTTTCATATTTTCCAGAGGGGTAGGTATACCACCAACCAGATAGTTTATGGAACAAAAAACCCTGGGGTTCCATTGGTTTCCTCCTGGTTTTTCCTGAAACCCATCCCAGTGTGAGGCGGAAAGCACCTGCAAGCCGTCCGGGTCTCTCCACTGGAGTTGGAGACTCAACGCTGGAAGGAGGGGGCATCAACTGTGGATGTACCCAGCAAATCCAGATTTTCTTATGGCCAGCATAGACTTTTGGTGATTGAACCTGATTTCACCCAGCATAAAAGGGAGCTAGCTTGATATAACTTGAAGAAAACTTGATAGAACTTGAACAACTCATTCCGTTCAACCAGAAAACTTACCTTTCTCAACATCTTGCAACACCTGCAGATCAGTTGCATGTTGAGAAATGGCAGCAGCTATAGCCGAGGCCCAGTGAAGCTGCTGTAGCTGCAGCGGAGTCGGGGCCCAGCATGAGTAGTGGAGCTTCCAAACTGGCTGGTTCACTTATCGGTTACATAGGCACCTGCAAAAAGATAGGTAGATTCCCACTATCCAATAACAAGGGTAAATGATTCTTCCATCTTTTTGGGGAGTTACTGGTAAACTATGGTAAATCTTCCACATGTTGAGAATTTCATGATACCCTCTGGTAATTTAACATAGCGAACTGGAAAATCACCATTTTTCATGGGAAAATCCACTGTTTCTATGGCCATTTTCAATAGCTGATTCAAAAAATCGACGAAGCAAACACGGGGGATTTAAGGGAGATGACCTGAGGTCAGGGGATGCTGAACCTCTACTGAAGGAACTGGGCTCGTGGTTGCCTGAGACTGGTGAGTGGCACGGGGGCTAGCCTGGCTGGCTCTGAAAATAGGGATTTAAGCCACAACAATATGGCGATTTCAATGAGGGAAATGATGGTTAAATGATCATGAACCACTGGATTCAGGGTTGCCCTATTTTCCGACGTACCCACATGGATGGTTTCACCAACAAGGTGCAGAGATGAATATAGATCCCCGTTGGATATCATTCTATGTTTTGGGTGGGGTTGGGCCCGGCATTTCATAGAATGGAGTGTCTCAGATCAGGCACTCATACCACGTTTTGTTCAGTGTGTGCTTTCTGTGTTGGCTTGATGCGCGATCAATTCTCTCTAATTCTCTTCTTCTATCTCATTAGTATTATACTGTATTTTCTCCTACGCTGCAAATCTTCAAACCTCGGACCTACATGGCTACCTACATCTCATCGACGAAATCAAAGGTCTGCTGTGACCACCTTACTTGATACACGGGGCCTCTGCTGGCCTCTTCTCGCCCTGCCATCGGAACAAGGCTACTGCAGCACCGATGACTAGCAACTGAAAGAATGGCGAATGAAAACATTGTCTGTCCTTTTTTGGTACATGCTTCGGCTCTTTGGGCTTTGGCTTCTCTTCAGAGTTGCCACCCTGATCATTTTGGCTATGGGGCAAGCTGCGCAGCAACGAGATTTTTCCATATTTCTCCATCTTCTATCATTTTCTCACACACTGTTTTTAATTAAGCTCGGGGGCATATGTTTACTCTTTTCAATCTCCAAGCGCCACACCAGAGCTACATGACTGCCTACATCTCATCGAGAGAACCAAAGGTTTGCTGTGACCACCTTGGAATGCAGTACTCTCTGCATATCTCTGCCTCGTCTCCTCGCAAAGGCGCGGCAGATTCAGCCTTATGTGTTGGGGATGGCCCAAGCTGCCAACCAGCAATGTCAAGCAGCAACTGTATACACAGCAATGGTATTGTCCCATAACACCTGCCATGAACTGCTATCACTTGTTCAAATTTGCTCTCAACATGCGTTGGCTGCCAAGGAGCATCAGTCACGACATTCCCACTCGAAAGTGGTTGCGATTTTTCCTGCCAGGACATGCCGGGACGTGTTAAAAAACATGCACACAAAGGATTTCTGCCCAAGTTATCTTGTTAGAAACTCTTGCTTGGTGTTGCTTGGCAAGATCTGGGTAGGAAGGACTGATTGGCAAAAACTCTGTGCTGGATCTCTGTACAAGATCCCTATGAGAGACCTCCTGGCAAGATGCAAGATCTCTGTGAGAGCTCTCTAAACAAGATCTCTTGGCAAAAACTCTGTGAAAGATCCCACATGGGACATTATCTCTATACCCGATCACTATGAGAGATATGCACCAACCTCTCAACAAGATCTATTTGAGAGACGACTTTAGCAATGTGCACAAAGCACGTTGCACCGTTGCACCGGTGATCACCAGAGTCCTGCACCTGTCACTTAAAACAAAGTTTCGGACCCCTAGTTTTCAAAATCCATTTTGCACCTAAAACGTTTGAGGTCGTTTGAGCATATAGGTCCAAAAAGGGGCACAACACGCAGGTATACGCAGGTAAAAGTCGACCTTTGGATGATTTCGGTTGTGCAGGTCCAGTGGCCATCTGCGACCCACCCCTTTTACACAAATTGTCAATCGATGTCAAGCGAACTGGGCATCCAGGATTCCAAGGGGAACGTGTATGTGAGACTAAGACTTCACTATCAAAATGACCGAGATGGTCCATGATGTCCAGTCGCAACCCTTATGGCACCACGATTCAGACACCATGCCTTACTGTTGTCACACTGTTCGGGGGAAAATGTAAAAATAACTGCATTGATCTGCGTTGGAAAGTGCCATACGTAAATTCAGAAAACAAAAGGCATTGTGGCGCAGCAGACCTGCATAGACCTGCATGCTCAACAAATTCAACCATGTCCACCGAAATATGGGCAAAGGGTGCTAGAAAATCTAGGAGACAATCACCATGTATCACCATACATGCTCTGGTTGGAAGATGTTGAAAGAATCTGAAGGAGAAGCCCTTGTCAGCCTTCTCTGCTCCGTTCTTTTCCAAGATGCACTGCTCGGTCCTGCAGCTGTCTGGGCGGAACTAATCTATAGGACTCCCATGGTTTCACAAGGACTCACAAGGTCTGGGGTCACTAAACTGGAACAAGGATTGTTATATAATGGTGCATGGCCCGCTTGCAGTGACAACCAGTCATCATTTTCATTTACATCCTTTGCACGGAATGCGTGAGCACGTGCGAACATATGAGGATGCAAAACGGCAATTGCGTCGCGCACGACCATGCACGACCTCTTTCAGTCCTTTTTCTTTTTTGCTTCTGCGGCTTGCGCCTTGCCTTTGTCCTGTCCTGCAGGAAGTGGCTGATGAATGCCGTTGGACGGCAGGTGTGATGTGAAAAGTAGGCAGAAACCATTTCAATACTGAACTGGTTGCAAAAGCCATCACATACAATCAGCAACTGCAAAATGTTGCCAAGGCTATGTGTGAACGGAGCTTCTTTCGGCATGTTCTGTGATATACTGTTATCTATATAAATCACGATTCATGGACTTCAAAGTATATCAGTTGAAATCATGAAATATCATGGCATATGTTGAAGAAGCGTCTCCTGCAGCAACCAGATTCACTGCCAGCTCCCCCTCAAACGCAGCGATCGGCCGCCGCGATCGCAGCACCAACACCGGATTGTGGGCAGTGCTTAGCTGCCATTCTGCCTCAAGCACACATACCTTTAAACAGCCTGGGATGTCGGAAAGCTGGTCGGTCAGGTGCAAGTTGCACGCCGCATCTATCTATCTATCGATCGATCGATCGATCTATCTATCTATCTAACTATCCATCTATCCATCTATCCATCTATCCATCTATCCATCTATCCGCCTATCCATCTATCCATCTATCCATCTATCCATCTATCTATCTATCCATCTATCCACCTATCTAGCTATCTAGCTATCTAGCTATCTAGCTATCTAGCTATCTATCTATCTATCTATCTATCTATCTATCTATCCATCTATCCATCTATCCATCTATCCATCTATCCATCTATCCATCTATCCATCTATCCATCTATCCATCTATCCATCTATCCATCTATCCATCTATCCATCCATCCATCTATCCATCTATCCATCTACCCATCTATCCATCTATCCATCTATTCATCTATCCATCTATCCATGTATCTATTTATCTAATCTAATCTAATCCAATCTAATCTCATCCAATCTAATCTAATCTAATCTAACCTAAATCTAATCTAATCTAATCTAACCTAAATCTAATCTAATCTAATCTAATCTAAATCTAATCTAATCTAATCTAATCTAATCTATCCATCTATCCATCTATCTATCTAATCTAATCTAATCTAGTCTAGTCTAATCGAATCTAATCTAATCTAATCTAATTAATCTAATCTATCTGCAAGCTTGAAAACTAAGCAATCCTGCGAGACTTCCTTAATTTTTGAAGGTAACAACACCCAAAACCAAATAATTCTGCGAGACGTCCTCTATTTTTGAACATGAGAACATCCAAAACGAAGCAATTCTGCGAGACTTCTTCAATTTTTTAAACTTGACAACATCAAAAACGAAGCAATTCTGCGAGACTTCCTTCAAAAATGGAAAGTTGAGTGCAGCGCTGACGGCCTCGTACCAATGCGTCGTGCGATTTTTCCACTCCACCTGTCGAAAGCACCGCGCCTGCCACGAAAAATAGATGCCAGGTCATACGAAGTGCTGCACCTGTCACGCAAAATCATCTTAGGAAATCGACATATCTGATGCTCCAAAATGCAACCCCTCTCAGGAAATCAGCGCCCTGACCTCCTAACATCTCTGATGAACATGTCTCTTGTACTGCACCTGCCAGGCGAAATGCATCTTTGCAGATCCTCTTCAAATGTCCCACGCCTGCCATCGTTTTTGGAAATGCTACAAAACCGTCACGTTTTGCTCACTTTTGACACGGTGCACATTCCCTTGCGCCTGCCACGCGAAACGAGATCTGAACGTCCGCCCGAACCCCTAGTGCTTTTAACATTTTGACTTGGAAATGTGCTTCGCGCCACAGCGGCGTAAACTTTTTCGACATCGCAACTTCGAAAAATGCATATATTTTTTTTTTCAAAAAGAAAGTAGGCCAGCTAGGTTTCAAACATTGACAAAAAAGTAAACATATGGGAATGTCTCAAACTGAGGTATCCGTTTTTCCCCTTAAAGTAGCTATTTTGGAACCAAAACGGACACCTCATCTTGAAACATACCCATATGGAGAAAGAAGTGACATTTATAACTTTTAGATAAATTGAATCCTTGAGCATCAAAATTAGAGATGATTTCACAACACCTCTAGGAAATTCTGCCATCGGAAATAAGATAATATAAAAAAAAAACCAAAGCAAACCACCAGACAAAGAAAAAAAATACATTATTCCAAAATTCTTTTTGTGTCCAAACCTGTTTTTCAGAATGTATGACAGGAAAATCCTTCGTCTATGATCAATTCTGAACCTTCAAAAATATATTAAAAAATAAGTTAAAATAAGTGAAAATAAGTAAAAATCAGTTCTATGATAAGTTCAAGCAACTACTAATATTTTCATTAAGTGCCTGAAGTGAAAATATCGTCACTTTGGGGTCACAGCAACAACACCAACCTTGTCTTCCACTTCCTCCAGCCAGCGAAGGTAGGATGCAGGAAACTGCGGTGGCCAGCTCTGTGCTTCAAGCCACTTCGCGAAGTCCTGACAGCACACAGCTAAAGACAAATTGCGGCGGCAGCCATCATTCCAATGGAGAATCAATGGAGAATCTTCAAAAAGCAAATGGGGTTTAAAGTGTGCCCTGCTCAAAACGTGGCACTGCAGCGAGAACTGACAAAATCAAAAAAAAAATAGTGATTTTCAAGTTGTTTAAAGCGTGGCCCACTCAAAGGAATTTT